ACGGCGAATCGGCAACAATACTTACGTACTTGGGAGAATGTGGTTATTAGAAGAAACTGCAGAAAGCCGAAACCTTCGATCGATACTACAAACGTCATCAAAATATAAACTCTACTGTAAGATATTTAAATTTTACCGTTTGAAAATAATAATCAATATTTTACTCCAAATTATATAATAGGAAAACATCATTTATTTCTTACTGTGTTAAGATTCATAGCAATGCACATTCAAAAGTAGGTTTTATTGAAGTATTTTGTAAAGGTATGTCATTGTAGAGTAAGTAAATGTGAATTAAACTGTGCTCAAGCTAAATTTATGCATGTTTTAATGAAGCAGTTGTAGACACGTCGTTTCATTTCAAAACTTCACTTCATGTGATGCAACCAAATATAATGGACATGATTCAAGCTACAATGTTACAAATAAGACAATACCGTATTTATATAAATTTGTAGCGGTAAATTCTTCAGATATATTTGTTAATATCAATTCATTGTAACCGTTTGTTTTGTTATAAACATTAACAGTAATATTTATATCGGAGAACCGAATAATATTAATGAATATTGTGAATAAAAGTATAAAATGCTTAAGAAAAAATTAATATCCATAAAGAATTATGAAAATTACAAGATTTTGATTCTTGTTCATTTACTTCTTATCATATTACCAACAAACACTTTTGAAAAAACATGTACAATCGATTATTGTTGTATAAAGGTTAATTTCATAAAAAGGATTTGTCTTTAACATGTAAGTATTTATATGTATAACAGTAGATTCTTACCCAATAATTTTTATAAACAAACGTGTAGACGCAACCCAATGCTGATATTTAATTGCAAAAATGAAAATCTTTTAATAATTTATAAAATATTCGCGTGCATTTATATCTTCCAATAAAATCTAAATTTCGAAAATATTTTTGGGGCTTGAATTAGGCGTGTTTTTTAGGCCTGGAATAAATTGTTTGGGCTTGAATTGGGGCGCGTTTTAGGCCCTGGGATAAATTTTTGGGCTTGAATTGGGCGCGTTTTAAGGCCTGTAAAAATATTTTTGGGCTTGAATTGGGCGCGTTTTTAGGCCTAGAAAATATTTTTGGGCTTGAATTGGGGCGCGTTTTAGGCCTAGAATAAATTTTTGGGCTTGAATTGGGCGCGTTTTAGGCCTCGTAAATATTTTTGGGCTTGAATTGGGCGCGTTTTAGGCCTCGAAAATATTGTTTGGGCTTGAATTGGGCGCGTTTGTAAGGCCTGCAAAATATTTTTGGGCTTGAATTGGGCGTGCTTTAAGGCCTGCAAAATATTTTTGGGCTTGAATTGGGCGTGCTTTAGGCCTGGAAAATGTTTTGGGCTTCAATTGGGCTCCTTAAAAATTTAGGCCTGTATTGGGGCTTGTTTTGGGCGCTGAAAATTTCTCTAAGTCAAGATTGACTCAATTGGGCCTGTATTGGGCTTATTTTTCATTTTGGGCGTGTTTTGGGCTCGTTTTGGGCCTATTTATTTTTACTCGGGGAATCAAATATATTTCGAGCACTTTGAAAATTTTGAATATTTTCTGTTGGATATTTGATCTGTTCGTTCATTTCGTATTATTAACATTATCAGTATTAAAAATGAAAATAATTAATTGAGAGGGATGATCATTTTATTTTAATAACATAATTTATCTTTTATAATTAAATATAATTTTTCCCGAGCATTAGTTAAATCAATATTATATTTCATATAATTTTAAAACGTGTGAAAGTGATGAACATAATACGTTTAAATGTTCAATTTATAATAATCATCATTTATTTCTCTGTGTTATTTTATCTTTTTAATAATTCAATTGTTTCTTTTACTTTTGGAATTTATTAAAACAATATTATATTTCAAAAATTTAAACTTTATTTTAGAAATTAAAAAAAAAATGATTCAGATAATTTATGTAATTAAAAGATAAATACTAATTTATATTTAATAGCCTATAACTTCTATTTCTAATGAATTAATCTGAATTTATAATCAGTGAAAATTTTCTGCAAATGAATATTCTAGCTTGATTAAAATTTAATATTTATTTAAAGTTGAAATAACTCCAACTTTATTCATTTTTTTAATTAGTTGTAAGTAACTACTTTGATGACATTCAAAGTATTTTTAGTAAGTTTTATTGTTTTTTATTTTAAAATGACACTTTTATAATAATAATAATAAATCAAACAAATGAGAATAATAATAATAACAATTTCTATATCACGTGGAAATTCATTAATACTTTATTCTACCAAACAACAACAAACTCCATGAAAAGTTACGAATTAAATAAATCTCCAAATGAAAATTCTTCCATTTCAAAATTACTCATTACAGTCTTTAACAAAAAGGAAACATTTCTTTGTGACTCAGTTGAACAAATAATCTGAAAGTTAAATAAACATCAAGTTAATTAATTTAACATGAAATAAGCATACACTGTATTTACGAGGTACTTAATACTTGATTCTGGCCAATATGGGGTAATATACTCTGAGAGAAATGTCTTGCTATGCATCTGGAGAGACTAAGACACTCAAGAATTATATTATACAACTACGAGGCATAAGGTATCTGTGGTTTCGCGACGTCTCTAGATACTACTGATCTTCACTCATGAGTGCTCAGAGTACGAGAAACACTCTCACATATATCGAGCATAGCAAGAAGAGAACATATAACAGAGTTGATGCATTTCTGGTTGCTTTACGCTTGAATCTACGTAGTAGACTGGTGCACTTGGTACTTCATTTTCATGAACAAGGGTCAGAAATAATTTTAAATGCCAAGGGAACTTGAAAGTGTCATACAGAAAAGCTGTTTCCAAGTCCATCTCACTGACAATCATATAAATGGACTTGAACTTTATGCTACGATGAAAATGGAGTCATGAAGTATTTTTTATCAAAATTTATCTGGATAAAAACTTTTATTAACGAAAATGGTGTTCATTATTAGGTGATTGGATGTGAGATGTTTTAGAAAATTCAATTAGAGTTCAAAGGGGAGAAAAAAAATTTATGAAAAAGGTTATTTTTTTGGATCAAGTGAATCCTCAGTAAAAATGAACGCAATTACTATTCTTTTATATTTTTTTTTTGCTAAAATTCATTTAGAAAGTTATTCGAGTGAGAAATCCGTAAAACGTTTAATTTGAAAATTTTTTGCACTAGAAGAAAATACCAGTTTTCATTTAAAAATGTTTTTACAGTTGAAAGGATTTTTTGAATGAACAATATCAATAATGGTCAAATCAAATTAGCTTTAATGAGTGAAATATAATTTCAATAAAAATCATATCTTCAATCAACCTAAATTATTTTATTACAAAAAAAAAATTTTTTATCCAATGTAAATTGAGGAAAACTTTTATTCAAACAGTAAAAAATAGTTAATTTACAAATTTTATAAATTAAAAGCATTAAAACAAAGTTAAATATTTATCGTTAAACAACCTAATCATTATATCAGAATAAAAATTATCAGCAAAGTTTTAAGCGAGTTTTACAAAAATAATTTTTAATTTAATTGCCAAGTATTTCTCTTTGGACTCATGTCAGTATTTTTAATTGGAACATTACATATATCTCATGAAGAGGTTGGTTTAAAAATATACTAGATTAATTATTTTTTTCATTTTAAATCTCTTTCTCCCTTCTTCAACCTTACTTCAACATTTATTAGTTCAAAAACAGTATCTTTGACTTTACTTTTTTATGACTATCTCTCTTGTTACATTTGAACTCTCCAACAGTACGATTAATCCAATTTTGCCCCACCAAATATCATGAAAAACATATTATTCAACATAAGTGAATATTTCAGAACCAAGTTTGTCATCGATTGAAAAGAAAAAAAACCAATTAGAGAAAAAATTTCTATTGTTCTGAAAGTAAGAAAGATATAGTCTAAGAGGTCTTACATAAAGCTCTCGAACCGCTGATGGAGCAAATTGGAGAAGAATAGAAGAGGAAGAATATCTAAAGTCCTAAGGAAGACTTTGATATCTCTTTCTTTTTCACCCTCCCTCCCTTCTTTTCTCTCACTCTCTTGATGATGAGACTGAAGTTGTGCATTACAGGATCCATTGACCTTATTCTCAAGTAAACTTTTTCATCCGTTCTACTTGTATTTAATTACATCATTTTCAACGCTCGAAAAAATGATATAATTATTTTGACAAGTATATATTTATAGCTGACGCTCAATGTTTTGTTTAAAAGGGCGTTGATAAGACCAAAACATACTTAGTAGGGTAGTAAAAAATTTTCTACTCATTTTTCTGCATCAAATTTATTTATATGAACATTCATCATAAAACTATTCGAAATATTTCATACATTGATAATAATTGAATCCCTCGAAAATATTTCCACGAAGTTTTATCATAATTATTGTTATCGAGAATATTTGATGATGCACAACAATGGTTTTGCTGGTGATGGGAGTGTTGTAATTGATGTGATATAGAGATTATGCATATGATTTTAATATTAATCAATTCAAAATGATAGTAAACCAACATCAGAAAGTAAATCAAGGATTATACCAGCAATATTAACTTTAAAAAAACAGATTTTTACATGTAAATAAAATAAGTTCATTACACGATTAAAAAGTAAATAGGTGAAGATGGAAATAGTAAAAGTAACTTTTTTATCTATATTTCCTAATGAAATTTTAAATCAGCAAATTTTTGTAATGAGATCATCAATATTCTGAATTTATATAAAGCATCAAAAAAAAAGGAAAGAAAGATCACGATGAATATATTGATGAATATTGAATAAATAACTAAATATAGCTGCTTATTAGATTGAAAGCTATTGTGAGATTGACTATCTTTATTTATCTAACTGTTATTATTTCATAAGTAAATTGCAGTCATATTATTTTCAATGATGATAAACAACATTTTTTATTTTTCTGTATAAAACGTTTCTTTTTTTTTATTACTTTTGACATTCACTTCTTTATTGATAACATCAACTTTCCTGCATCATATATACTAGCACTTTCACATTTTATCCATCCTTGTCTTATTTTCTAACGCTTCAACTACATGAGGTACCTTTTTCTGTTCCGCTTTTCAAAGGATCAATAGTGCAATACTTTTTTCTTGCTTCAGCCTCAAGTTTTACCACGAAAATCTTCAATATTCCTAACAAAGATACATATGAAATTGGAATGAAATCGATTTTTATTTTTTTTATTAACTAAATTTTATATTAACTGATTTTTGTTTTATACATATTTTACATAATAAATGAAAAACTTGATTATCATTGAAGTCCATTAAAACAGAAATATCTTCAGAAGTTTGTTCTTATAACAGTCTAGATTTCGATTAGATTAAGATTAATATTTTCATATACTTCGAAAAACATTTAACTAGATTAGAATAAAAAAAGTGAAATGTCTCTTCTAGAAGTCATAACTTCCAAGTATATCAAGGTTTTCAGCAGATAGATAATACCTCTAGAAGTCTCATGCTCGATTATATCTCCAACACATGACTTCTAGAGGTTTAACACCTTTTGACATACGATCAGATCTGAAAGATATTACTTAGATAGTACTTGCTTTTATTTTTACTTTAATTACTTAAAGAATTCTAGGCCAACTTCATGATCACTAATTGTTCTATAATCACTATTCTATCGAGTTATTAACAGTTTCAAGGAGAAGTTTCTAGTGTAGACCTTCAGAGTCCAATCTCCATCATGACTTGTCATTTTATTTCAGTTGGAGATATAATTTATTACAACATCACAATCTGTTTCTATACATTAATTAAAATTTGCATCTAAAAAAAAACAGGCAGCTAAATTGATAAAGTTATGATTACGTATCGAGGGTAATAGTTGTCATCAATCCATTAGCTTTGTCTCTTGATATTGATTATATTTGATAAAGTATCATAGTAACGTGGGAGAAGCGTTCGATATTGTCAACACAATAGACTAGTTCTTCTTAGGATCTATTATCATCAAATTACTTCGCATGCAGTTTGGAGTTGGAAGTTATAATAATTATGTTTAACTTATTATTACATATTCAGTGGTTTAATTGAAATATTGATGAGCTACAAATGTGTTCTAAATATTTTATGCAAAATAAATAAACAAAGTAAATGAGCAGTAACTGTAGCTAGTAAATAAGTAAATAATCATTGAATCAGCACGATGAAATTATCTTGTTTATAATAAAGAATTAAAATCCATAAAATAAATCATTTTGATTGGAATTCACAAAAGAATAAATCTTTATTTGAATTCCATTTTTTTGTATAATTATTTGTACTATTAAATAATATATTAACATGCACATAAGGTGTTTGAAATTTTTGTATTATATTAATAAATAAACTGCATATATCAATTCTACTTGATGATAAATATATATATATAAATTTCTATGAGAAAAAAACATCAAAGAGATATTCCAATCAACTCATTTAAGTTCACGCTTTATTTTACTATTAAATAATTTAATTAGTTTTCACTCAAAGCGTTTTTGTAAATAACGTATTTGTTAAATCCAAGTGTATATTCAATTTTTTATTAAATTCAATTAAATCTTTGAGAATGTCAGACATGTTTTATTTATTGTTAGTGTTATGACGTGGGGTTTTTCCTCTTTTTTTTTTTAGCAAGTTAGATATATCCAGCTTAATTAAAGGGAGTATTTTATTGAGTGAATTTGTGATGGTTTTAATAACTTACAAGCTTCTAAAATAAATTTCTCCTAACGTGGAACCATAATTTTTTGTTTCAACATCAAATTATCAAAACTATAAATCTTCTCAATATATTCTTCAATTAAATTCATTGACATTTTTCAATTAAAAAAAAAACTAGATTGAATTAAACATCATAATGAAAGAAATACATATCATTTAAAAGAAAAAATAAATGTTCCTTAAACATCTGTAAGAACTGATGATTTAATGAAATAAAGTATTCCACGCGATTTTATGATAATTCATGAGTTTCTTAAATGAATTCCCCTATCGTCCGAATATTTTTTATTCATAAAATAATAACTCAGTAAAAAACTACACCCAATTACAATTTAATAAATTATATTAACCCTCGTTCCAAACGAGCCATCGATGAACAAAAAAACGTCTTAATTACTTGTTAGGATATCCGTATCTGTTGAGACATTTTTTATTGATTAGTTGGGTGTTTTAATTCAACTAGCTATTATCCTTTCACTCCACTTCTCCTGTAACCTCACGTCGAACAGTAAGTTTTAATGGAACTGGCAAATCGGATTACCAGGCCCTCAGGATTTCAGTTTTGTAATAGTTATTGACAAATTATGTTGTTCTTTTAACTTTATAAAAAACTTATACATCTAGATAAACCTTCTTTTTTATCAATTAATGTGTAATCAATAAATGAAAACTCATTTATTATTTATTTAATCAATCTGAAGGTTCATTTTACATATAGACGAATATTTTATTTTTTATTTAAATGATTACTTTTGAAAGCTACCGAGCTGTGAAGATGATCAGATAGAATTAAAATTTACTATATGCAGTAGAATTAAATTATCCTGCTACTCGATACGTGCACATGTTCCAATTTAATTCCACCTTGCAATCAAAGGGTTGATTATTAGGAGCTTTTATCAGTGATAAATTTCATTGCAACGACTTCTTTTGATTTTTTTCACACAATTCAAACACTACTCTTTTAATGTCAACATATGATGAAAAAAGTGAATTAGTACTATAATAAATAACCTGACGCGACATTTTTTTAACACACTTCACTAGTGGATCAAGTTTTATTCAAGTCAAGTGTTCAATCAAAAGGTCAATAAGGTCAAAAATAGTATTGGATATTGCTAGGATATATAAGAAATAGAGAAAGAAATGCAATAAACTGCATATGAAGTTTAGAAGTAGTCTTAGAAAAGAACAAGTTTTCAACTTTGAGTGATACAACATGGATTTCTTTAAGATCTCGGAATCAAGAAGATTTTTCTTCTATTGAAAATTGAACTTAAGAGAACTCGAGCCTACTATCTTCTCGCATCCTAGATTATATTAAATATAACTGGATGTGATCAACAGCTGTTTCTAGATCACCCCTTTTGTCTCCTTTAATTAATAGGTAGAATCTATAGAGAGTAAAGGAAGACGTGGAAACCTGAGAATTATGCTCATTTGTCTTTCATTTGTAAGCAACTGGTAGACAAGTATATTATTAATTGTCTTTCTTTACTTGTGACAATGAAAGAAGATATCTGACAATCACAATAAGGCAGTATTTCATTGACAGCATTTTATTGCCCAATTTATTATATTTCTTAAAAATTTCATTCTTTTAAATAATAAAAACAAATATTTTTCATTTTAAGTTGAAATAATAAAATAGCTAATAAGTACTCTATTTACTTTAATAAAAAATTTTATTCTAAATATTGAAATTATCTATTAATTATTATCATTTTATTATAAAAAATTTATTCTGAGCGATTAGACTAATTACTGAAGCATTTACATGAAAATAATTTTAGAAAAATAATAGTTTATCTCTAAAAGAAAATCTAATGTTGAATAAATTGAATGGTTTGCTTGAAAAAGCATTTATCAGCAACTTTTAAGAATGAATATTCTCCACTGCAGTGATTTTATCTAAAAATCAGACGAATATGGAGTTGGCGAGAATGGCGTAGGGGTAACCAGAGCATTCAGTATAGAGATTCATGTGGTTTCATCTCAATTATGTGACCTAGGACATATAGGGTGTGGTCGGAATCCATGAAGTAAAGGGAAAATTCATCCTTTAAGCAGCAAGGTGTAGAGAGCGATCAATATCCGTTGTCTTTTTATTCCAGAAAAAGTTCATTGATTATGACGAAATTCATTAAACAATTAACATGTCCACAGAATTATTTAAAATTTGCCAATAACTCTTATGTAAATATATTAAGTCGATTGGCTTTGAATGAGAACTAAACTGTTTATGTTGTGAATATAATATAATAAATATTTATTCAACATACAAAGAGAATAAAAGCTGTTCTAGAAACGAAAGAGATATGATTGGAATACAGAAAATCGTCGACAGGAAATATGGTCCTTGGCGGTCAGACAATTGAGTTATTTTTGTGGACGTCTCTAGTGTGAATCCCATCGATTTTGCATAATCGAATAAGACCGCCATCACCGAGCCTTTATATCTATATATATATATATAATCTGTCTTGCTCACGTTATCAAGAGTGACATGATAAATACGTTAAAGGTTCAGGTAAATTATCAATATTATCCTGTCGATCAAAAAATACTATGCTTCTTCGTATTTAGTGTACCAAGTCAATTTAAATAATTCCATGTTGAGTGGAATTGAAATTTTATCATGTAGGGTTTATTTAGTATTTATGAATACATAATTATTTCATCGTTTGATAAATATTATTATTAATTGTATTGATGCAATTATTATTATTATTATGCTTTACTATTATTATTATCATAAATAATTGGGATGTATATCCAAAATTATTCGATTTTCAATAAAATAAAACTGCAATAAAAAATAAAATATAAAATAATAAAATATTTTCGTATTAATAAATATTTTCTATAAAAATTAATTAATGTATACAAATTAGTAAAAAAAATTTTTGAATCTAAATGCATGAATTTTATATATAATGTTATATGTTTAATGAAAATGATTAAAGAGTCAATTTAATTTAAGAGATTTCTACTTGACGAATTTATTTTATTTAGTGGAGGCTAGATTTATTGAAGGTATTTGTACAGAAATTGCAACAGATTACTAGTGGAAAACTCGTTAAGTTTTATACTCACGTGTGTTCAAATCAAATGTAAAAACTACTCTCACCGTGAAGAAAAGCTCGTTATTCTTCTGAAGATTTTGCTATCATACCTCTTGCTATCTTTTCGTTTTCGCTTACTCGCTGTGAGTTGATTTCACGGGAAAAGGAAACTTCGTAATGATAATTAACACATCAGATAATTGGACTTTTCATTGAGTACTTTTTCAAAATTCCATTCGTTAAAAATAATTAAAAATATTTTTAAAAATTTCTGGCTACATTCCAAATGCAATAAATCATTACTAAGCTAAACGAAGGCTTTACTATAATGTATATATTATTGTTGTTTAATTTTTTTCTCAGCAATAATAAAAATTAATTAATTAAGCTATACATGCTCTTTATAGCCCATTATTCTTATTATATATTTATCTGTCTTTATGAAGTATTTATTTTTTTTTAATGGCTTTAAAAAGAAATTATAGCGATACAATAAATAAGTTGTTTGTTGAGCTACTAGAAATTGAAAGTTGAAAGGACAGGAAATCACAGGAGGCAAACTTCGCACTTGTCGCAGTGCCAACTCCGGTCAATTACCGAATAGTCAGGCTCACTTGGGTTATGCTAATGGACGTTTACACGAATGCTTTGTCATTGCAAACACAAGTCAGCCTATATAGCTTCTAGATAACAGATAAGCAACCCTGATACAATTCATATCCAGGTAAACGGAGAGACGAATTGCATTTGATGAAAGCTGCTTCAATGTGGTTTTTAATTAATTAATCCCATTCACTTTAATACGCACTAATTACTTCATTATTCGATAATTATTATTGTTTAAAAATATTCCTGAACAAAAAATACAAAAGCATATAAACCAACTTTATTAAGAATTTTTTACACATTAAAATATTTATTGTTTCATAAAAATTTTTGTAGTTCATTTGATGTAATCAAAGTTATACTCCCAGCAATCTCGGATAAAAATTTCCCTATATTATCATGAAATCATGGTGAATTAATATTTTTTATGACATTTTGTCGTAGTATTTTCTTAACTTTTCAAAACAAAATTAATTTTTTCGCCATCAAAATTTTTTTCTTTTCTTATAATTATCCATTCACTTATATCTTCTATCATAAAAAAGGCTATAGAAGGCCCTAAAATTTTTATACACCAACTTTATTACCTTTGAATAACGTGGATAGCGATTATGAATAGAATGAATGTTGCCTGAATAAAATCGGTGCAGTAGTTTTGAAGATATCATGACCATTCGTTCCAAAAACGTAGGACTTTGAAGTAGGACTTGACTGTAAACCGACAGCTTGACTATAAACCTTTATAACTCCAACAATTTTCGACATTTTCTAGAGATTCTTTCGTGTACTTATTTTAAAAAGTTATTGGGTAGTAAAACATGAACACAGAAAAAGATTCAACTTTTTTTGATCCGAAAAACTAAGAATCTTTACTACATATTTTTCAATAACATTACTAGAATATTTTACCAAAACAAACTCCAAACAAATCTGTTCATTCTCTTAAATTAAATCCTTAGTTAAATTTGAAACTATTTGCAATATAATGAGAAATATATTCTAAATTAAACAAAAATTATTTGTTTTAGGTAAAACAGCAAAAATTTCCATCTAAAAAATGTAATTTATGTCAATTAAATGAAACTTTTTTAGTATTATTATAATTGTTATATAAACAGCGAGAGAATTAAAGTAAATTATGAGGAAAAAATAATTTCAACATACTTAAAAAATGAAAAAAAAAGATTTGTTTCTTTGTTTCAGTTTTAAGATCAAAAGAATATTGTTCAAAGACAGTGTTTTTTTGAATATTTCCTGTTGCTATGGAGACTTTTCCAAACCCTTCACTGACTGATGTAGATCTGTGTACATATATGCATGTTATTTGCGAATAGGTTTGTTAACAAGATCCTGTCGTCTAGTTTTCGCTTTGTATATAAAGTGAATGTGTTCCCATTCGATGAAAGTATACGTTCGAGGCACATTGGAAAAATCATCTCTCACTTCAAACCACTGGAAGAAAATTCGACAGCTGTAATTTTTTTTTTCATACACTACTCAAAAAATATATCATTCAATTTGTCAGGTTTCATTCAATTTTTTTAAAGAAAGAAAAAAAAGGAGACAAGAATAATTCAATTATAAGCCATACAATAAATTTACATGAGAGCAAAAGACGAGTAAATAATAGTCGGTCAGTGGCGCATGAAAATTTGTGTCAAGATCAGCTTAGGAATAGCGAGAATAAGAGAGAAAGAGGATGAAGGTGATTCAACTAATTCAAACATCAGAAAACTTTGAATGTTTAAGATATAAATAAAAAGTCTGAAGGGCTTAGAAAAATTAATTTTCACGTTCCATATACTTTCTAAATATTATTACACTTTCATTGTTTTATTATTCAACTCTTGTCATCACGTCTTACGTAGCAATTTAGACGGGAATGAATGTTACAGATGTTGTTAGAATGTAAAATTACAACTGAATACGAGATACATCAGTTGTTGACTACTCCCTTTAATCTCTCGCACGTTTTAAATGTTTCTGTTGGTTTAATTGCTTTTTTTACCCCACGTTCTACTCGTAAACTTGCTATTATTTATGAGAGCTAATAGAAACGGATGATATAAAACACACCTTCATCATAGCTGAGTGTATTGTATTATATTGATACCAACCTTCAATGGAGAATCTTCAACTGGACTGTCTAAAATTTATTATCAGTCTTAATCAAGAGATGCTCTATAAATAGATGTCCTTTCAATTAACTCGAGTTTAAGTTTACATAAAGACCATGAAATTGTTTGAAAGAAGCTTCTTCCGCTAGATAATAAGCTAATGATGACTAATAAAGAGATTTTATCTCTAAAATGTAAGAACGATCGATAAAGTTGATAGATGATTTACTATCAAATATAAAAATGTTTTTTCGGGAGCTATTTAGATTTATGGGTAGAAGTTTTTCTCTTTTTTCGGGTTGAGCACAAAAGTCTTGATAAAAAAAATATTTTTATCAGAGATTGATGATTTTTTATTTATTTTTAAAATACTTCCAAGTTTGCAAAGAAAACCAAATTCTAAAGAGATATTTTTTCGATTGGAAAAATTGTTTTTTTTTTTTTTGAGCTTCAAAAGATAGTATTTTCAACTCACGTATTCTTTTCACATGTTATGCCCATTTTTCGATAGAAAATTTTATTTCTGAATACTATAAAATTATATAAAAATGCCATTTAAGTTTTTTCTTTTTTGAGTATTTACAAAACTTTTTTCAATACATTACTGAACCTGATAATTAATTAATTCAAATTATTCAGGGCAAAGATTAGTGTCTATATTTTTATTTAAATGGAATATAAAAAAAATTGTAAAACTAAAATTCGAACCAAATGGTTTACTTAAATAGAATATAAAATGGATGTAAAAAAATTCTTTAACCCAATTTCTACATAGAAAATTTTCTACTTTACATTTTTCAATCCAAAAATAAATAAATTTATGAAGAAAAAAAAAGCCAAGAATAAAAAATGATTTTAAATTAACTTTTGCATATTCAAAACTAGGCCATCTTTTTTACAAGAGAATTTTTTTTCCTTATTTTTTTTCACAGATACAAATGATTCAAAGAATTAATATTTAATTCCAAACAAATGACATGTAACATTACATGTACATGTAAAGAAAATGTGTGTAAATAACCCGAAATTTTATGTATATCATCGAAGAATGCTTTAAAGGTCTGCGAATTATTAGAAAGCAAGGATGAAAGATGAAAAATGTGCGATGTTAGAATTATTTATGCCTATATATTGACTTGCTAATGGCGACGAAATTTAACATTCAAATCTCTCTTGTACGCTATATCCTACCACCCCCTTTTGTTTTCTTTTGCCACCGTTTTATCTTGAATATGTATTAAAATAATGCAAAAAGAATATTCTAACGAGTCGAGAAAAATTCGATTAACCTCACTACACTGAAAAAACGATGTATTCAAATAACCAAAATAATTAAAAGGAAATTCATATTCGTTATTTCTTTATACACTTCAGTGAATTCCAAACAATACCATAAAGACTCATCAATAATAAACTCTCTGAACAAAAATTTAATAACAATAAATAATTCCAACTAAGATTCTCTTTATGAACAAAGTTTATTTATCATCAAGAAAAAAAAACAAAACTTTGTCTTTGGTTTTTTCAAATTCATTTCTAACAAATGAATGAATATTGAAAAAATGTTTCCATACATAATTCAAACTTTTTCCCTCCTAAATATCAGTGTTTTTTTTATTTGAAAACAATATTGACATTCCAAAGATATTTTGTAAAAAGCTCTGAATAAATTTAATCCATTGATTATAATCAAATGTATTTTTTTGTGAGCTTTAAAAAAAATTTAAATTTTTTTCCGGCTGTTTTACTATCAATAAAAAAAAATACTCTTGCCATTTATCATTGGGGTTATTCACCAATATTTGTCTATTTTACTCAGAAACTGTAAATTCCCTCTGCTATATTCAAATTACAATAAAAAACAATAAAAAAGTGATTTATTCATTGACAGTAAATTAAAGAGGTTTTTAATAGAGTTAGATAGAGAAACTTACCATATGAAATTAGACCACTGTTGAGCATTGACAATTTGATCTGACTTGGTATTGAGGCAAGACTTGTTCCAGTGTTAAGATGACGTTTTCGGGGTGGTTTCTCAGGAGTTCTTGGTGCACTTCTACTTCTGTGGTGATGATGATGCTTTCTATGAGAGTGTGAGTGGGAGTGAGAACCACCACCAGTCGATGCGGCGCCTGTTCGGTCTGAACTAACACTACTAAAACCCACCACCGCTCCTGCACTTGATTGGGTACGTAAAGAAGACATTTTTCTAGAAAAAAGTAAGACAATAATAAAAACATAAGAATGGAAAAAATATTGTTACATTTGAATAGATCAGATGAACCCAGAAAAGTGACAATAAAAAGCATCTTATGAGCCAACTGGCATCATCGAGTAATAACATTTTTTATTTTCCTCTTTAAGCAATAGCCAGCTTCAATTCTTTTTATCGCTCACAAATCGTGCTGAGCATTTCGCATATCTCTTAAAGTAAAAATTAAGAAAAAAAAAACAAGTCACTCATTGATAATGATATGCAAGAAAGGTACACATTTAGATAAGCAATTTGGAATAATTTTATTCTATTAGTGATCTAGTATTTTTTTTTCTCCCTTGCCAAAGACGAAAGAAATGTGAGAATTCTTTTTGTTCCTTCATCGTAAAATCTCAGGGAAGTAGAAAATGAAAAAAGATAGCAAAGGATTTAAGTCAGAACGAGTAGTGAATTTAATCAACGAGTATCTGATTCCTTTTTGATTATATCTAGCGGCTTATCTATCAGAACTATAGACTTGAAGAATCTCTCATCACAAAAACAAACTTCACGACAACAATTGATTTTCCATTTTCAAGTTAAAACTATTATTTAAACTTTATTTTCTATTTACCTAACTCATTTTCTATCATAAAAAGTCACAAAATCAAAAATTCAATGCTAATTTTGTTTTTACTTTTTCAAACTTATCACTACAACTATTTCAATTTTGAAACAACTTTCCAAGTGTAGAGATGACAAAACTAAAATATTTGGTTTGACCAACAAGATTCTTGTAAGACATAAGTGCTCTTAAATTTTTTGTCTCAGCTTCCAAAAATTCCGCCAAACTTTTGCGAATGTTGGCTTATCCTATACTTGTAGGTCAAGACCCTTATCCTGAATTTTCCTTCAACATATAAGACAATGACTTTCAGAATTTTAGAAATATTTAGTTTGTTAGATAAGTTGATATAGGAAATAGAAGAGAAGGCAAATGAAAAGTAGAAAAGAGATAGTATATTTCTAGAGACAGTAGAGGAAATTCTCGTGAAGATGGAGTTTGGAATTTGATCCTGTTTACTCGGTTGAACGTGATACCGGAAGAATTTTTGCGATAATTTTCATCCTCTTTGCTTCAATTTACCAGATAAAAAATTATTTGTGGTAAAACTAGGGTGAATAAGTATAAGAACTTGAAAAATCTTTCTGCTTTTTATTTAGCTTTATTCTAAAACAGTAGAGATTTAATAAAATAAAGAAAAAACCTTATTCAATATGAGTCTATGTATTGAAAATTATTTTTAATAAAAATATTTCAGCATGGAAATATAAAGTCATAGAAAGAAACAATTAAAAATTTTCATTTATATTTTTATTACAAAAAATTTGAGAAGAAAATAATTTTTACAAGTTTTTGTATGTTGTTATTAATAGACTTGTTAACAAAGAACTTGGAAAAAAAATAAATTCGTACGAAATAAACATTGAGCAAAGGAAACACACTCGACGTATTTACTTAATCTAAAATTAATGCTAGATATTTACTTAATCTTATTAATAACTTAATGACAAAATAATTGTTTCTTTTCTCTTATGCGTGAAAATGAGTATTAATAGTATCACATATCGATCATACCGTCATAAGATCCGGTATGTTGGTGTTTTTTGATCTCATATCTATATTCGTTCCGGATCTGTACTCGAAATTTTTGAATGATCAAATTGCCAGCATCCAAATGGAACGATCTTTTCACCCGAAACCTATAACTGCCACCATTCGTGTAATAATTCCGTTCTAAATTCAGTTATGCTGATTGCGTCTGAATTAAAGCGGTGAACCAATAGTATATTAGTGATGTTATGCATCAGAAAATGACGTCAATTTTACTGTAGTACCTTTATCGAAAATACACTATGTTACATTTCACTTGTAGATTAACGGTCATATTGCTGTTACATAAATCATCTTTTACTGTTTTGAGTTGTTTATATTTATAATTAACAAAAATCTAGTAGTGCAATAATTTTTTTGTTCATTATTAAAACTATTTTTGTCATTAGGTCAATGACTTTCTTGTTTACATATGAAGAAAGTAATTGATTGTGGAATTTATTGAAAATATTCCTTATTTTTTTAGTGATAATAATACTACTTCTAAAATTAATACTGAAAAGAGGGAATTATGTTTCAAAATGTTTAATAAAAGTTAATTTTACTGAAAGTATATATATACATAATCTTATGAAATTTATTTCAAAAGAGAAAAATCGGATTTGAACAATGATTGAAACAGAAAGTATTTTAGATGAGTGAATAAAAATTCCAATCCCATAGCTAATATCTAGATAAACAAATAATTCTTTTGATGAATTTTTTTCATTAATTTTCAAAATACAATTGACGAAAAAAAGAATAACAGCTAGGTTAGGTGGAATAAAAGAATGAATAAACAAATGATTGGTAGAAAAAAAAAATTTTTATTTCAACAACTGACAGGATTTTATCCAATTGAGAATTCAAATAAAAATTTAAAAAATAGAGTTATAAATCGTCTCAGTGATTTTTAGATTGCACTAGCCATTATTATCGTGCATAGATACTTTTGTTATCTTGTGGAAAAAGAGTAGATAAGCCTTTCCAGCGGTGTTTTGATAAATAACTGAAACAGCAAAGTGGTCTGACCATATCACCTACATATCTACTGGGAAATAAGATAGTTCTCATTCTTCAGAGGATTCCAGCGACTCGTTTCAGTATCATCTAACATACATAACTATATCGGTTATGCAGGTCGTATATAATCTTTGAAAATTTATTGCTATTGACAAATGTTTTTACGACACTTGTCTGACCTTGTCTAGACTAATCTACTGATCACATATAAAAGTAACGACGCAGAAAATTCGTCAGATATTCTGATATATGTCAAAATGTCCAAACAAACATTCTCTTCTCTGTAAACATAAATTTCCAATGCAGATGATCATTGCAAATAAAATATAAAATAATATTATTTAAAAAAATATTACATATGAATAAGAAAAAAAATATAGGTCATAAATGATTAATGAAATCACAATATCAGACAATTTTTACATAAACATCATAAAAAAGTATTAAGAAAATCATAATCAAACTATGTCATTATTTATCCCTATTACCCTCACCAATGACAAACAATTATTTAAAGATAAACTCTTGATGTTGCATGCACGAATATCTATACACGTGTCACACTGTTAACATTTTAACCGGGCTTTGTGTGATAATATAACAACAAAATCCATATCAATACATCATTTATCGACATTCACATATCGCAATCTAAACAACAACAACAACAACATCAGTGACAATAAAACACTTAAATTACTAGAACAATCTAAATTGACACTTTAATAAACAAAAAAACATACCTTCAATTTATCACACTGACCACTAAATTGTTTATTACTCAGCACAACACTTAATTACTATGTACCCACTTTCACTCTATTTTTATTATTTATTAATCACACATTCACACACACACCGATTGACATCAAAATAACCACGACTGTAATAAACAGCAACAATAATAGAAATAATAATAACTGCGACAATTATAGTAGTTGTAATAATAATAAAATTATACTAATAATAATAATGAAAAATGTGAAAAATATTCAGAACATTTTTAAAGTAGGATGCATAGAGCACGTAATGTTATTAATGTAGTCTGACAGAAGTGAATGGACGAGTAAACAGGGAGAAAAAAAAACGAGGCACAAGACACACCGAGAACGCGGAAAAATATTCGTGCGTGCTGCGATGTTACGCAGAACCGGTGGGAGACTGGCAGTCCCGTGGTGTAGCTACTGAGTCGTTGTTGGCGTCGAGCCGCTGAGGATGCTGGGTGGGTGGGCTGGCAGCCGCCGCCGACGCGACGAGCTCGCGCGGTAGAAGCAACCCTGCTTGGCAGGGCCGCGACGGCGACGCTTCTTTGCGAGGGCGTGGTCCCGTCACGAGCGCTTGCCACATTACATATCCAGCACTAGGACTGACAACATGACCACCAGCATCATCATCAGCATCTTATGATCAAGACCATGAATTTCTTGTAAAGGTCAGGGACTTGGTCATCATCATCATCATCATCACCAGCATTTACTCTATTCATCACTATCAGAAATAAGGTCTGTGATGGATAAATTCTCAAGGGTGTTGAATAAAATTCAAAAGCACTGGGAATAATTTTTTTGTTCATTTTTTAGATCCTGAGCTAATGTCTAGCTTAGAAGTTGAAGAATGATGGAATCAACGAAAAGTTTATTGGTGATTGATGATTGTACTATTTCGGTATTCTCAGTTGATGTCATGTTTTAATTAAAGTCATTTTTACTGAAGGAATTAGCTGATCTTCATATATGGATTTGTTTATCTTAAAGATGTTAGTAGCTTCTCGTAGCTTTTTCACACAGGCTTCTTCATAAACCCCAACGGTCAAAGACAGCCTCCAGGGGATCGGAAGGGATAAAAGTTGTAGGTAAAAGTCGTCAGAAGATGAAGGAAAGCTCAGGAAAAACCTTTTTAAGTTGCTTTGTGCAATCAGAACAATTTTAAAAGTTCTTATTTACGAAAGGTAATTTGAGTTCTTGTTATAAGCTTCACGATCTTTTGTTTTGTAGTACAAAAGGTAGTAAATTTATTCGATCAATGTTATTTATAAAATTCTGTTTATGGTAATACACTTGAAGTTTTATGATGGTGAATAAATTGTAGTAGAGATAATAAAGAGGGAAACAATGAAGTACGTTTGACACTCACAAGTATGAAAATATACTTCTAAGTAAAATAACCAGATTTCCTTTTAACTTCTCCCCGCAAAAGGATGACAGAGAGATGAAACAATTGTCATAACAGTCTCTTTTTAGCCTGTGGTGAATGCAAATTTTTCAACAAGTGCCACTTACTCGGATTAATTAGTAAGATTCTGACACTTTCAACATTGCTTTTGTCTTCTTACATACACTTAAAGTTTTTTTAGCTTCCATTATATAATTTCTACAATACTTTTCTGACCTTTAACGCTTCATCTTTCTGATGTTTAAAGATCCTTTTCGTGTTTCTGATAGCGACATTTCAATTTACACAAACGGCTTTTCCTCGTTTGTTGTTTCTTTAACATACTTCCCCTTCATCCAACAAAATGTTTTGTTGCAAAATAAACTACAAGTTGAACTAGTCGCTTACATGCACCTGGCGGGAAATGAAACGTTAAACTCTCTCTTGTCCGGTTATTTATCTGAGTCAAGCTCTCTATGTAATAGAGAATGGATCTGACCCAATTGGAACGGTCCTCTTGCATACATTGGTGGTATTGCAATGTGAGGAAACATTTCGAGGCAACATACTCTGATACGTACACTTCTCTATCTCACATTCTAATTCTCATTCCTCTGCCTCTACAACGGACAAGGTTAAACGTCGACCCTCGATCTTATAAATAGTCTATTAACCACAACAGTTAAACGAACATCTGAACAAGAGGAAAGAATATTGGTCAATGTTTATTCGATTTTTTTACACCCACTAAAATTAATCATCATTCGTTTTCTTTTTATTTTGTCATATAATTTCGACTACAGAAAATTCCAGAATTTTTCATAAAAATTCTTTGCAGATAAGAAAACGATCTAGAAAACTGATGCAATACTTAGGCATAAGTGAGGGAGGCTAAAGAATTCTCGTAGTCTGTTGAATTGAGTGAAGTCAAGTATAATTGTACACACGATGATACTATCGTGGAAGTTTGTATTCGCGGGAAGCCCTGGCAAGTTACCAAAAGGCCAGACATTCCTTCAAGTCACGAGCATTACTGATTCCGCAGTTATTGCACTGTAGTGACAAAATAAAAATGATCAAAACTTGCTCGACAGACTACCAGTCCATAAAATGACGCATCATCTCAGGGTGAAATATTATAAAAGAAGGTTTGTATTATACAAAAAAACTGTAGTAATGAGGACGACATAGCTTTTAAATAGGTCGGGTATTCAACGAGAAAATTCATTCGTTTTGTCAATTTCTTTGAAGGTTGCTCTTTCTTCGAAAATTTTTTTTTTTCCAAAAAACTTTTTTCATCCAAAAAATTTGTTTCTTGTTCACTCATAACATTTTTCTAGAAAAATACATATCTCATGATTAATATTCAACAAATTCAACTGACAGCTTTTTGTCAATTGTTTTCTTTTAAATTGAAAAATTAATTTGTTTTTATATTGTTAATGAAGATAAATTAATTATTGAATAATTGACATTAAGAAAGAAAAATTATTAAAAGTAACTTTTAATTATTCATCTACAATTCTAAATGAATAATAATAAAGAAAAAAATACATAGTTATATTTTTTAAATTAATAATTTATCACAGAAAGAAAAGGTTCAGTGAGTGGAATAATTAGAAAATGAATAATGCTTCATTAAATATTTAACTAGCTAAGGTAATGATTTTTCCAAACCATTTTTCTTTGATATAAGATTGGTCTACTTTATGAGTTTTATCACAATATTTCTCTCAACTTTTTTTCATTTAAATAATCATAAAAACATTCATAAAATTAAATAAATAATAACAATAATAATAATAGTAATAATAATAATAAAATTTATATTTTATTTCTTCTTAATTTATTATTAAATTGCCACTCATTGACTAGAATAATTTAAAAGCTCCATATAAAACACACAACCATCTTAACATAATGATTTTTATCAAACACTTAAATTTTTATGTAAAAATAGATGAAATCAAATTTAATTATTTCGTTGTATATTTAATTTATGTATCATTAAATAATTCAGTATACCAAGTGATCTAGATAAAAGAATATGTTCTAGAAAGGTTTCTTATTAAGGATTACCATATTTATTATGATTTTTTAGTTGTCATGGAAATACTTAAACTACACGACAGAAGGAATATGAAAAACGTATGTGATATAACGTAAGTTTCTGTCATGTGTCCACTATGGTGACATTTTAATTCATACTACCCCATCAGTGTAGGAAAAGTTGCTTTTATTTTGAATAAAACACAAATCCTTTTATTGATTTTCACTTGAACAAATAACTGAAATGAAAAAAAAAATCTTTAATTCGTCAAAACACATATTGGAAAAATATGAATGTTTGAGGTGTTAAAAACTTATTTACTACACAACAATGAATTGAAGCGAAAAATAAAAAGTCACCATTCATTCATTTTATTCTAGCATTCATTTCCTCGTTCTTTAGTCTGTACTTTTGTTCTATTTTATTTTACAAGATTTTTTTTTAAATCACCTTTTTTTGCTGAAATAACGATGACGTAATGAACTTAAATTGACTTCGTTCTTGCATTCGATGCTAAAGGTTATATCATCGAGTTTCGAGAAGCTGAGTTCCATTATCGTTTGTGCTTGGTCGCTTCCGTTAATTGACACACTAAAGCAAGCATTAACAAATGATTATTTTGTGAAATAAGTCAATGTGTACATCATCTCAAGATACAGAAGTTCTTAAAGGGGTTTACAAAAAAAGAACAAGTTATCAAGTCTTTTCAAAGTTTCTCAGCTCCCATTTCTGGTAATTTTCACCTATCAAGACTAAGATCTTAGATTATATCATGTAACAAACAATTCAAAAAGACATGATTATAAATGGTTATATTTTCAATCAATTTATATTACAAAACAAATTATCTATTATTGGACGTAATATAATATTAAATTTCCTTGACATTTAGCTTTGACAAATTGTCAATTTGTTATCTTACAACTATTTCATTTTACTTTGACTTAATCGAAATTTTATACTATTGGAAACGATCGAGTGACCCTAGACTGAGAGAAAAAATAACTTTTCTTATAAAGAATAACGAATAATGAACTTTTTATGACAATTTTCATCTTAGATTAACACATTTTTATTGAAAATTCTCTTCAACAATTTGATTACTTATCAAGATAAAAAAGAGGCGTGAAATAAGTAAAGATAAAAAGGTAGTAAAGTTACTTTTAAATGTGCTACAATATTTTTTTTTTGCTACGAAGAAAGCTTCCACTATTTCCACCACTTTAACTAACTTGAGACTAGTTGTTTTTTTTTCTCTCAGTGATAATTAAATGAGTAGTCGTTGAAAAATAATTTTTGATTCAAGGACTAATCTCTAATATTTATAATACAATACCAAAATGAGCATTTACATTATTTACAAATTCAGATCAATTTGTATTTATACTTGTAGTATACTTTGAATAATTATCAATGACAATAATAATCATAATAATAGTATTAATTGATGCATTATATATTCTTACATTAATAAACAGACACACGTCGCCGTGATAATGCTCGACATAAAGGACGCAATGGTACAATTAATACATAGTTGGTCTTCTTATTGATTAACTTGCCTCATATATTTCTCACAATTTCCACTCAGGTATTAATAATTTTAACAATGTATTTTTAAAATGAATAAAAAATTATTAGCAAAAATAATAGCCAACTTGGAAATGAATTAAAAGTAACATGTTGAAAAAAATGTATAATTATTCCATAAAAAAGAGGGTAAGAAAAAAGTTAAAAAATAATTAAAGATAAAATATTTTCACTGAGCACGAAACAGTTATTCATTAAAAGCAAGTGAAGGAGTAATAAGTTGAAGATAAATTTCATTTAACGGCGACGATGTGGAAAAATAGGGAAAGGGACGGTGATCTGAGGCTGGCTCGGTTTTTGGACATAATAATAAAGCATAAACTTTCGCTCATATCATTTCACTTCACTCATAATATAACATTGTAAAAAAGAAAACAATTTTAAAATAACAATGATGAATTAATCAATTAATCAATTAATTATTGATCATAATAACTAGAATAATATTAAAACATAATAATAATACAATTCATAAAAATACATACATAAATCTATGCAGTTATATATAAAAATTTCGTACCAATAAAAAAATGATTATGATATGCAAATAAAATACACAAATTATTGGTATCCACTTTATATAAACATGGACGTCATATGGATGGTTCGGTACAAATACAAGGGCGACAATTGATCAGTCAATAAAATGATCAATATAAGTTGTCTCTCTGTTTTCATTTACTATCGAGCTAAATGTATAACAGATAGCATCGACAAATAATCGCAATAATTAACATACAATTTAGTAATAATATTAATAAATAACAGACTTAGAACTTTACGAATTTCTACGACGACATCATCATAGAGAGTGTGTAAATATAAGATTAGCTACCTTCGATTATAAGTTCATATGATTGGCAACAAATTCTTATGTCGTCGTTGACAAGAATTCGTAAGTATATTTGGACAATAGATAAAATTTATGATAAGTTCAATAACGTTTTTTTTTGTTTTCTAAATCAATCTTTGTTTTATTTGGCCTCGTATGTACTTAAAATATGGACGTTGCTGGTGATAGATTTTTTTTTCTCATTCAACGATTTAAGAACATGATTATAATTATTATAGCTGCATAAATTACAAATTTATTTTAAAAAATTGTTATTTAGCCATCACCTCATCAAGACTATTTTTAATCATTTTTCGTCAAATTGTTAGCCGATTAACAATAATGATAAATAAATTAATGAATTAGTTAATTGAAATAAAAACTAGTTGATTTGATTGAACGACTTAATATAATACTAGTCAATGTTTTTAATATCAATCGAGAATAGAAATAGATAAATTTCTAAGTTGATTATGACTCAAGACTTGAAAATAGATCATTAGATTGAAAACAATATTAGACCAACGAATAAATTCAATTAAAATTACAAAGTATATTATAGGATGCGACGGAATCTTTTCTTCGTTTTTTTTTCGTTCATTTAAACTAAGTTAATCGAAGTATACCAAAGTATACTAGAAAAACTACAAATATTTTTATTTCCAATACAAAAATTCTACAATCTCTAGGTTTTGCCTCAGAATGAAAACCCTAAGTATTCTCGACTATATGATTATGAAATTCTACACTTCCATACGATAGTATTGTCACTACATTAATTTTCTCTAATAAAAACCCAACATTTCAATGTCCTTGTGATTAAAATTGGTAACGAATATTTCATTTTCTTTTTTCTACTAGACTATTAATGACATGGAGCGTAAGTGATGAATACAGAGGCAACCTCTACATCTATCTATAATCCATTGGGAAATTATACTATATCGACAAGTTCATAGTGACGATTCCTCGAATGTGATTTCTGTAAAAATATCTTTGCAATACCATTCATTACTTTTCTCAAATTACTGTCAATTCCCCAAGGCAATTATTTTAATGTTTTTTAATAGTTGTTGAGGGAAGAAGCGAATATACTGCTATTTAGTAATTTCATCATCACTCAAAACACTTTGCTCCATATCTTTACCATTTTCTAGAAGAAATCTCTACCCATATGAGGACGGTTTGACTGTTGCATACGGGGACGAGCACCACGTCCGTTACCACTGCCCCCATGTCTCATATGTCGCGTATTTCTCAACTCACGATCTACCTCTAATTCTTCGAGTTTCATTGTCAGCCCAAGTTTTTGCTGAACGGCGAGACGTAGCAGATGGTTCAAAGTTTTTCTATCTTCCTCTGCTACTGCTAATTGACGCTGTAGCTCATCAACTTGTGTGACATACTCCTCACACCGTGCCGCAAACATCGCACGTAGACCTGAGGAGTGTACTTGTTAGAGGGTATTAAAAGACAAAGGGGCAAACAAGCAAAGTGTATCGTGCTAAGACACCTAAACCAGTGCAATGAAAATTTTTTTGTGATGAGCGTGATAAGTGTGATGATTGATGATGATGTGATTAGAGTTTAGTGAAAGAAAAAATATACATATATACACATAATGAGCGAATAATAATATGTCCTAACACCTTAAGCAACTTTTTACAGTATAGTCAATTAAATAAACCATTATGCATTACGTCGAGTCTACTGTAGTCTTAGTTATAAACTACACAGAAAAAAATCAGTCACGTGTAATAACACAAATTCGTCGAATGTCATACACATGTATAGGAATATTTTACAAAATCATAATTTAATACAGCGTTCATAATGGCACATATTAAGAGCAGTGACTAAATCAATAGTAAAAGTGCCTGAAATTAATACCGCCACATAAGTTAATGCTGCGATAAAATTGAAATAAACATGGAGTTAATAGATAAGATCACCATGTGTTAACAGAAATCGGGGGAAAAAAAATATTGAATTCATTGATAACTCAACTTTAGCATGATTAACAGCATGACATTAATAAGTTTCTGCGTATACTCACTCGAAAAAGTGGCAGCATTTTCTTTTAATCGTCTAAGTTCATTTCTCAACTTCGAAATAGTCTCACTAACAATACTCTTCTCACTTTCATATTTACTCTTCAAATTGTTCAAAGCAACTTCAGCAGTGTTTTTATTAGATTTCAAAACAGTACGTAAAGTTGCAATCTGTTCACGTTTTGCCGATAATAAAGCTTTAAGTTTTATCACCTGTTCTTGTAAATCACCCTCATCAGCCTTGTTTTCATTATTTGCTGTAAAACATAAAAAAAATAATATGTTAGAGTATTATATATTAACTTAATAGTAGATATTATTTCTATCATAAAAACAGTTATTAACTTACAATTAGATATATTTGCTTGATTTCCTTTACTCATTTCTATGGTATGTTCGACCGCATTTCTCAAATGTTTAATTTGATCCATTGCAGTTTCTATGTGCCGACTGATTTCATTGGCCTTCGATAGACTTTCAAGATCTTTGATGGGAACATCTGTCTTTGAAAGAGTTCTAAACCATTCGATTTTATTATTGTCCTCGCCTTCTTCTTTCTCAGGTATCTTTTCGTGATCCAGGATGACTCGTGATGGTGTTTCACCGTTGACAGCACATACATGATGATACAGCTGTGCCAATTCATCAGACATATTCTGGAGATCATTTTGAGCATTATCAAGAGCACCTCCAGCTTCAGATGCACACTTCGATAGGATCTGAATGTCCGATTCTAATTGAGCATTCTTATGTTCAGTATCCAATAGCTGAAAAATCAATTAGAAATATTAATATTAGTTATGAGAGATTAGAAAAATAATTTTTATTTTTTTAAATTCTTCAATAGCTAAATGATTGATACATGCTCGAAAGCACGATATTTATCGGACGATTGATCATAATCATTGATAGAATGGTGTGTAAAAATTGCGGAAAATGGCGTGAGCTCAAGAGTATCAATATGATTCGTGCAATGAGACTCAGCAAATGGAAATCATGCCACGTTAATGATGACGAACGATATGTGTATAATATAAACAGATGGATTTATATCGTTTCGAAGCACATTCTCTTTGAAAGCTTAGTGATTAAAGTTGATAAAGTTGTTGATTCCACCTGTTTTTATCTCAGCTTATTTAGTTTAAAAAGATATGGAGAAAGAATATCTAAAAGCAATATGATTTCACGATGACAACTCGAGCTGTTTCATATATTCACACTTTATGATTATAACAAAAAGAATTTTTTATTTTTAAATTTCTTTTTTTAGCGGCACCTAGTAGACGCTGTTAGGGCATTGGAAAGGTAATAATAGAGATCGTTAGAGAGGCAAAACAACCAAGTCATTATTAAGTAGGTGGTAAATACGTAAACGGGGCCACACGCTCCAACCTTTTCCTGAAGGCTCTTCACTGACACTGGGATCTGCAATGCCATAATTTTCATTCAACTAATTTTGCTATGCACCCACACCAGTGCTCATATTCATTCAAATATTTCATTTTTTACTACCGTATTAAAACCATTAAAAATAAATCCCATGGTATTATGCACTTTTTTCTTCCTAACTGCATTCGATTCCATTATTATCAGCATTTATTTTATTAATTCCGTAAATTCCTATTAATTTAATTACCTTATTTCGAAGATTAGTCAACTCCATTCTCAATTGTTGTGTTGCATCAGATACAGTCAAATTTTCTTCAAGTTCACTTATATCTTTTTGGAGCTGCTCTACTTCATTTGCGGATATTTTACACCATTGTTGATATTGCATAACAGCCTGTAACAATTCACATTATTTATTTTTATAACCACTTTTAGTATGATGAGTTAATGAATTAAATAGTTTTCATAAAATGAAATAAAATACAAGATTTAAAGAGAGGATAAATTGGTTAATTGATGTGAAACAAAAATAAACATTTAAAAAAAATGTTTGCTAAAAAAAAATCTTCCAACTGATTTACTTATTCAAAAGATAAAAAAGGTTGTGTTAGATGTAAACAAAAATTTAACTTTGCAACTAAATAAATCAGAAGTCGGACATTTTTAAATTAGAGTTCAACTTCCCAGTACGTGCTCAATATAGATAATTATCACTTGAATAAATATGCAAATTAAAAGCAACTGATAAAATTTCAAGTGTGCTAAAATAAATTGATCATTTAAATAATTGACTTATTATTCGTTGAATTATGTTGAAAAAATGATTTTAATTCACAATAAAACTGCAAATTTTTGTTCTCTCAATAAGGAATAAAATTAAATAGAGAAGAATATAAATACAATATCAATTGAATAATTGACTGCCAAAATTACCTGATTGAGTTTATCTATGGCAATTTCGTCCGTTTTCTCTGGAAGATTTGAATGTAAATGCTGAAGTGATTGAACACGCGCTGCTAATTGAACTATCTTAGCCACAAATGACTGTAATTCCCCTTGGCTTTTTTCCACTGTATGTTGACTATCACGTAAATTTTGTGAGAGAACAGCTTTCTCTGATTCAGCTAGTTCTAATTGTTTTTCAAGCTTTTTAAGTTCATTAAGATGAATTTCAGAAAATAGATCAACTTGTTTAGTTGCTGCTGATGTACCAGGTTCTTGAGTCTTCAAATCATCCTCAATTCTTCTTAATGTTGGAGAATCATCCTCACCATCACTACATATCGTTTGATCCTCAGTCATACCACGTATTGAAAATGCTAAACTACTTAAATTGTAAATTGATTCACTATTCATGCGCTGATCTAGTTCTTTTTTCAGAGCATATTTAGCTTCACGTTCAGCTTGTAAAGATTCAAGAGCTTCTTCCATTTGTTTTTCAGCTATTTTTTTTAAATTAGTCAACTCTTCTACTTGACTATTAAGAAGCTCAACTTCTTCAGTTAATCTCCTAATTTCGTGCTTGGCACTTTCAAACTCTACTTGGCTTGATCGTAAAGTCGATACTTGTTTTTGTAATGAAATATTTTCATCTTCCAATTCAGAATAATCTTGAAGAAGCCGTGTTTCACGGAAACGGCATTCTCTTAATTCTGTACGCAAGCTTTTACGTTCACTTTCCGCTTGATGGTGATTTTTACTCACATCTTCGCGCTCTTGGAGAGCATGATCTCGTTCAACTTGAACACGTTCTAATTCATGACGTAATTGTTTGATCTCATTTTCGAGATCAATGATTTGAGTCTGTAATGATGTTTCTCGAGCTGCACTTTCGTTTAATAAACTCTCTTCTTGTTCAATCCCACTTTTGGTAGTCAGTTTATTTGTCGTTTGAAATTTTGCCAATGCCTAAAATGGAAGAATTATATTAGACGTTACTTTCTATTTTTAAAATATATATGACTTAATATGGTAATGAATAAAATGATTCAATGTTATATAATTTCGAAGATTTACTGAAAATAACTATTTCAATGATTTTTTAAATAATTAATAAATTTAGTGGGTTTAATAAGTATTACTTATATAGGAAGGTTATGAAATTTCACTATATTATTTTTGCGAGTTCAATGATGGTACTAACCTCTTGAGTAATGTCAAGCTCATGTTTAGTATTATCGTAAAGTGTTTCGAGTTCGTTACATCTTTGTTCAAGTGCAGACTTCTCTTCTAATAATGCAAGACCATACTGAGCAGACTGAATTTTTTCAGTGGATACAAGGTCAAGTTCCCTAGAGAGTCGTTCTATTTCCGCTCGTAGATCAGTCACCCTCATTTCTTCAGTTGTTGTGGCCATGTCTGCTGATTGATTAAGCCGAAGGCCTTGGACGTCCAGTTTGATTGTCACTTGATTTCTTATCACAAAACGTGTTGTTACCGTAAAGAATATATGGCACTGGACATAAGCCCCGTGGATGACAAGTGCTTAGGCATCATCCGTAAACCTCACACTGATACCGTTTTACCTCCCACGTATTTTTACTCATATATTCACTACTCCAACTTTATCCAGTTAAATGTTATTCATTAACAATTTTCTATGGTACTCACATGCTCATCCAACGTTTAAAGAACATGAGCATTTGAAACACTTCCCAACGAACAGATAAATAAATCGGAAGCCAACTTTTCACGCTTCCACGAGTCTACCTGTTTCTACACGCAGGTGAGACTGCGCAAGCGCGTGACTCTTTTACACTCGGAATTTTAATTAATGGGAAGTCGGTAAACTAAATGTCAGCAATTATTTGTTAGCTGATGGTAATAAAATTGAATCAATATACAACTGTAGATGGTGTGATTGTGTAATTCCAGTATATCCATTTTGGACTTCTCTAATTTGGAGCTGTTTTAATTGAATACATCAGGTTAGAGAACCTTAAATTATGTAATTCGATTGATATTTAGTTATTAATTCTATAGATGTATAGATTGTAAGAATCACTAATTTAAATATTAGGTATACACATTTTTATTTAATCCTATTATCTTTTTTGTTTCATTACTGGCACTGAAAATTACTCACTAAAAAAACAATCAACTTTCCTATTTCAATAAATTGTTACAATAATTCGTAAAAATAATTTATTCAATTACCATACAATTAGGTGATGACATTTATTTTTATTACAGAAATTATGGGGGGACATGATCATCACCATGGTCCTCCTAAAGATCCATACAGAGTACCAAAAGCTTCTGAATACAGCAAAATCGAAGCACCACCATTGATACTTCATCAGCAACGACTTGCACAGCATGGTCTTAAAGATCCTTGGATACGAAATCATGTTTGGAAGTACGATAAACGATATGGAACTAAGTTTACCAGAGCTTTACAATTGCTTACCACTGGAATTCCAACCGGATTTGCATTATTTCTTCTAACACTAGGTGTTGAAAATGCTCTTGGTATTGATTATCATCCCTGGCATCATGAACATGCCGAAGGACATGGACACGATAAACATGGAGGCAGTCAGTAAAAATTATAATTGGAGAAGATAAATATGAAATATGATGTAGTGATTAAGTGAGTATGTACAGCTATGGATAATAAACAAATAATTGATTGGAGGAATAACATTTTTTATTCATTTTTACATGAGAAAACGTTTATCAATTAAGGTCTTTTTTGCCAAATTTTTATTTTGACCAAAACGAGCAAAAAACGTGACCACATGTGATAGTAAAATGGTAAATATTGCAGATAATACGTAATTACAGTTCAATGCGAGTATAAATACAAAGACTGATAGTTCAAATGTTGCCAATGTCCATTCGTTTCCATGAAAAATAGTGGTAGCAAAAGAATAATTATCATCTGAAAGATTGGATCAATTTATTAAAAATATTATTAATCATAAAAACAGAAATTCATGAAATATTTACCGATATAAAATATTGATTTCTCTGTATCAAAAAATTCGATATTGCACAATTTTTCTACTAGAGTTCTCTCTCTTACTGTATAGTCAACTTCTTCAAAACAATGATCTAAAAATCCACATAGAAATTTACGCAATTTCAAATAAATTTCCCAGCGCTCTTCCCATATTGGCACGGATAAAAAATGACGTCTAGATAAATTTTTAAGACTCTGAAACATCAAGAATAAATCATTAATATCTTTAATCTTTTAGCCACTCGTTAAAAGTAAATTCAATCAATTTCTTACGAAGCTCTCAGTGTTCAATATAGAGTTGTAAAACAAACGAAATTGTCTGGACATGCACACAATGAACGTTTGCTCAGTTGTTCCAGGAATCAACCCTCTGTGAGCACACAAATTATGTTCCTCTTTTCTCAAATCGTTAATTAATGATAAAAGGTCAGTATCAGCAAAACCGTGAACTGATCTGCCATGAATGTAATAACCGTAATAATCATGAGAAAAAATAAATAAACTAATGTTTGCCACTGAGCATAAATCAACAAATTCCTGGAGGCTATTTTTAACATATCTCTCATATAAAGTTGATAATAAAAATTGGAATACATAAATAAGTACGTAGATTATCACGCCTACACCATATTGCAGTGTAAAACTTTTTCTCACTGAATTATTTTCTCGTAATGTTAATTCTGGTACTGCTAAAGTCCAATATTTTAATCCGATTACCTGAAAATAGAAACGTATTGTTGATTTTATTTAAGCATGAAAAATAATTTTTTTTTGTAATATTTTTATTTTTCAAGTCATTACTTCAAGAAAAAATATTGTTCCAATGATTTGAAACCAAATACTTGTTCGTCTTTTCGTTTTTATACGAAGCCATTGACTAGCAACAAAATAAGTTCTCCAAATGCTAACAATCCATTTGTCTTGGGCAACATCATTTTTGGTATCTTCTGTTGAAAAATTGATTTCAGAGCGGGCTGATGATTTTTTACGACGATTAGAATCCTCACTTTTTGTTTTACGTCTAACAGGATCAGCTTGATTAGTCTTAGAGGAAGTTCTTTCTTTTTGTTTTTTATCTACAATTTCTGAAATCGTTCCAGACAAGTCACATTTTTCTTTACGTAGCTTTTTTTTATGAGTTTTCCTTAATGATGTATGTGATGGGTCGTATTGAAGAGGAAATAAAATACTTCGTGACTGTTCCCAATCAATAAAGAAAATGTTCAGTCGCCGGTGATGGTACAGAAGTGATAATATTTCTACAACCTGAAATAAAAATGAAATTTATTAAAAAGAGATAAACTTAAGTTATCTTTCATTTCTGGCATTCTGATTTTTAAACTTGATCCATTTTTAGATGTAGGTCATCAACCGGTCAAATTCAACCTGTCATCACTATCTACTTTGGATGACGGGTTTTTGATAAAACTCTAGATAACGAAATTCAGTAGAACCGTAACATCTTTTTTAGTGATGTATAAAAAACTTTTCATGACTGAGATAAATTAAAAACAACTATAAAAAAGATTTTTCAGAAATAAATTCATAAAAATGTTTTAAATGCAAGTCTACATTAACATCATATTACAGGATGTAATTCGTAGTTATCAAAAGTTCTAGGGTTAAAATACATTTTTGAAAATGCCTGGATAACATTTATTGTACATAAAAAATATTGTGCATAAAATTTTTATCTGTAATAAAATCCATTATTGTGTTTAATGCTTTTATCATAATACATTCCTTTTTAATATCATTTTTTTTAACCTAGCATATGATGAACCTTTTGTATCTGATTATTAACGCCATTTTTCAAATAAAAAAAAATTATTATCATTAATTATAATAAGGATATCATTAACATTATTTATTAGTTACTCACTTTTCCTCCAAACGCAATCATAGTTATAATCATTATGATGAATTCAAACTCATCATTGGGTAGCAAAATATGCAATACTGTTTGTCCTTTGTAAAAAATAAAATAATAAATACATGAACAAATGGAAATCAATAGAAAAACATTTCCAATAACTCCAATATAGTTTATCATGAATGATGAAATCCTAGATAAAATCCATACATTATTTCTATTTTTTCTGCAATAGCTCCATGTTTTCAAAGCTCCAGGTATTAATGCTAACCCACTGAAGACTCCAATAATAATCTAAAAAAATAATAATGAATGTTTAGAGATATAAATAATTATTTATTGTCATAATAATTTTTTTATTCGTATATTTAATGTCAATTTTTCACCTCAATAATTAAATTTGATTCCTTATCACCAAAACTAAAGATAACTTTGTAATCAATTGATATTTCCGAATCATTCAGAATCTGCTGATAATTGAGCTCATCATATTCAATGATAATCAATGGTGGGAATATTTTGCCTGGGTTTTCTCGTTTTTGCATCGTTATCCTTAAATAAATCAATTAAATTTTTATATCCGATAAAAAACGATACAAGTGAAATTTAAAATCTCTTTTATACATAAAACTGGTCATTTACTTACTGAATATTGATCGATTTTATATAGCGGAATGCACTAGGTTGGGTTGCTTTCACAAATATTGAGTTTTCTGAGCTTGAAAGAGCTTTAAAACCACTAATATTGTCAATCGTAAAAAATCTTTTTGATAGTTGCCAGTGAGATATATTTTTTACCTTCTTGATAATAACAAAAATGTGTAATACTATCTGTTCATCATGATGTGAAAAATAGAAAAAACTTTTTGTTACTTACATTATTAATATTTTTTATCAAAACTGGCAATTCATATAAAAGTTTTCTTTTATCGCTACTATCATAGAAAGATAAATAAGGAACTAAAAATTTTACTTTAGAATTAAATAAATCTTGAGCGGATACTTTGCATTTTTTTACAGTATTTACACCATAACGGATATTATTGAAAGAAGAACAAAATGGTATCCAATCTTCTAATGATTTATATTCCCCATCTAGGCTGTATGTGGCTACAGCAAAATGGAATTTATTATGCTGTCAAAAAAAATTATTCCAACAATTTAATGAAATAAATAATAAGAAAAAATATATATTTATATAAACAACTTACAGGACTAGTAGTTAATAATGTATAGGTTGATGGAACCTTAGGATTACTTAAAACCATTGATGCTGATCCAACTTGATAAAAATAATTTTGTATTAATGTAACATTACTGAGCAGTTGACATGGAATACTATTCATTTGGAGAGTTAACAAACACATATGAGCTAAATGTTCACATGATTTTTTATTATTATTCTGAAATAATGTTATTCTTTGTAAACAATATAGAAAATAAATAAATTTAATTAAGTTCTGAATAATTCAATTAAATATAGTTACTTCGCAAAGTTTCACAGCTAGAAGTAATTCAGCTCTAAGATAATAACTGTCCACTGGCTGATGTAACAGTTTAATTTCGTATGAATGTTTATCGTTGGTCCAAAGAGACGACAAATTAGATTGCAAACAGTAGTTCTGAATTCGTTGATGCAAAACTGAAGAACCTCCATTATTATCATTGTTTGTTGGAATTGTAGTACAAGGAAGACATTTACTACCATCAATTGAAAGATATGAATTGTCTGGACATGGAAGGCATTTTATAAAATCTAGTACAGTTCCATTGTAGTGTCTTTCAACTGCGAATAAATAATAACAATGAAAATACGATTTTATACATAAATATTATTTTATTTACAATGTTTATTTATTCTCATTACTTTTCATTTCATTGTCTAAACATTGACATGTACTGTTATCTTGACAATAAATACAATCAAAGGCATCAGCGGTTGGAATACTTTGATCTTCACATGATTCACAGACAGTCTCTCCACTATTTGTTTTAGTATACCGACTATTTTTATCACAAATACATTCTAATCCTAAAAGTTAAAAAGTATTTAATAATTTGTTTTTATTTTATATTTCAATTTAATAAAAATAAGTATTTAAAGTTGTTAAAACTCACGATTTTCTGATGATATTAAATTATATGGACACTTTTCACATGAAAAATTACTTGTATCAAAGAAACTAGTCTCACTACACTCTAGGGGGCTCGTATATTCTATTACAACATCTTCAGTCTTGTTGATAAAACCATTAACACCGTAGTACGTAAAATAAACAAACGTTAAATATCTAGAAAAAATTTTCATTGTTAATCATAACGAATACTGAACACAATAAGGTGAAATGATTTTTGTTGATATTCTGCAGGTATCCTAGCAACCAACCAATGCAATGGATGGGTAATTCAGCTCTACCATGCTTGAAACAGTTAAAGGGAACCATCAAAATTCTTCATTTTCATCTTGAATTTTTTGTCAACATTATTTACTTAGATTATTATAATTTACAACAATGAATTTACATCATCATTATTTATATAAACGTAATTCAATCAAGATTTTCACTCATTGATAATTATCAATCAATAAGTGATTGATATAATTACGTTCTATTTTATGTTATCAATAAGCTGACAAAAATTTTACGTAAAAGTTAATCACTTTTCCGTGATTAAATTAAATAATGACATTTCCGAAAGTAATGTTTAAAAATCAAAGATAACTTATGTTATCTAATATAAATAATCTTTATACTTTTTATTTTAATATAAATATAAAATATTCTCTATTTTCTTTACTACAACTATTGCAATATTTCTTATTGGCAATCAATAGAAAATTATTCGAACATAAATAAATGTTATTTTGATGTGTAATTAGATTTCCTTTGAAAATATCTTCAATACCATTCATGTTTGCCATTGAACTAATGATCCTTGAACATTATAAATGTCTATTGTGATATATACTTAAATATATTCATGAGAATCAAATATACTTTTCATTGAATAAACTGTTTCAAAGTATAGTTATTTTTTATATACATGGAACATTGAAATAACAGTCTATTTCGAATTATATAAAATGATAACAGGTACAATGATCATTCAATTGATGTACACCTGATAAGCTGATTTGTTGTTGGTTGAGCAATCGGTTAAATCTTTTCCCTACCTGCATTTTTTTACTAGGTTCATGATATGACAATACAGATAGGAATTCTTCGTTGAAGATTAACAAAGACAAAACCTCCATCTGCGGGTGTATTGGTAACGTGTGCAGGTAGTGGATTGTGGATAAATATGCGATGCTTTGAAAAATTTCTCACACTTGAGCATCACTCTTTGAAAAAGGTAAACCACTTATTCTGTTATTTGTATTTTTATTTTGAGTTAACTTCGACTTTACTTATTTTTTCCCATTTTTTTACAGAAACACCATGCTCAAGTTTGGAGTATTTGTGATCCTACTGGTGGTGGCTGAAGGGGCTCAGCTCAGACGATATGATAATTATAAAGTTTTTAGGGTAACACCTAAAAATCAGGAGCAAAGTGATTTACTCAAACATTTGTCCCAAGTTGCAGAGGTAAAAATTCAATTTTTTATTTGATTACGAAATCCAACAATTATGAGCAATTATCTACGAATAAATCAGAAAATTAAATCAGATTGGAATAAAAAAATCTGTTACTTTTTTTTTTCATTAAAAAACTTTTTTTATAATGATTTATTGAAGAGAATAACTTCCTAACCATAAAAGAAAACAAAGGCTTAACAAAGTTTTTTATTTTACAGTACTCTTTTTGGGATGGGCCACACTTTACTAACATCTCATCAGACGTCATGGTACCTCCTTCTAAATTACTAGACTTCGAAAGATTAATGAAAATAACAGAAATTCCTCATGAAGTTCATATTGACAATGTTCAATCTTTGATGGACCAAGAAAATCCTATGTTTAATAAAATAGTTCGTGCTGGTGTTAATTGGAGAACCTACAATACTCTAGATGAAATCTACAGTTGGATGGACTCTCTTACAAAAGCTTATCCAGACAAAGTTCAAGTCATGAGTCCTGGTAAAACTTATGAGGGCCGAGAAATTAAAGGTGTTCGATTATCATTCAAAAAAGGTAATCCTGGAATTTTTATTGAGGGTAATATCCATGCAAGAGAATGGATCACATCAGCTACTGTGACCTACATACTTAATCAACTACTCACGAGTCAAGACCCTGAGGTCAGAGAATTGGCGGAGGCTAATGATTGGTATATATTTCCGGTCTTCAACCCTGATGGATTCGTCTACACTCACACAAAAGTAAGTTTAATTGTTGACGTGAATTTTAATTAACTTGATAAGTCTCATTAGTATGCAAGGAATTGTTTCTGTTGATTTTTTTTATCTCAAGATGATATTCGTAATCAAGTCTCAAGGTTTTATGTTGATCACTGAAAATAAATTTTTTACTTGTAGGATCGTCTATGGAGGAAGACAAGAAAACCGTACTCGCACCTTTGCTATGGATCTGACCCTAATCGTAACTGGGGCTATAAGTGGATGCGTAAGTTTATTTTTTGGTGATTGAATTTTAACAAAATATTGACATGGAGAAAAATTATTTTAATCTAAAAATTTTTTTTATAGAAGGTGGAGCCAGCAGCTTTCCATGTGCGGAAACTTATGCTGGATCGGCAGCATTTTCTGAAATTGAGACTGACACAATGTCAAAGTATATTACTTCCATTTCTAATAATGTCTACGCTTACATAGCATTCCACAGCTATTCACAACTCCTTCTCTTTCCATATGGGCATACGACGGAACACCTTGATAATCATGATCAACTGGTAAATATAATTTTATGATTTAATAGAGTTAATATTTATATTAAGTTCATAAAAAAAAAATACGCCAATTTTCTAAACGAAATATTAAATTTTTTCCTAATTATTGAATTGAAATATTTTTTCATAAGCTGGATATTGGTCAGAAAACAATTCAAGCTCTTGCCAAGAGATATGGAACACAATACGTGACTGGAAACATTGCTGAAACGATCTGTAAGTATATCACATAGTGTAGAATATTTATATCCGTACTAAAAACTTTTTTATTTATTTTAATTTTTTCGTCTCAGATGTTGCCAGTGGTAGTTCCATGGACTGGGTAAAAGGTACATTCAAAATACCTATAACTTACACCTATGAACTCCGAGATAAAGGAAGGTATGGATTTTTATTACCACCAAGTCAGATTATCCCTACGGGAGAAGAAACTCTTGACTCTCTTGTTGGACTCTTCAAGGCAGCTAAAACTTATGGAATTCCCAAGAGAACGACTGTGTAATAAAGTAAATGCGAGAAACATTTTTGTTTGAATGAACTGATTATTAGGAATAAATAATAAATGATAATAAGTTTAAATAATATTGTCAATTTAATTAAAAATGTACACAATGTACATGATCCATATGGATTAATTTACATTTCATTATCAGCAAGTTTTTTTGCCATCGCTCGAAGTTCTCTCTTTGATATTTTTCCTGAAGCAGTATAAGGCATTTTATCCAGAAAACGAATACCTCCACGAAGTTTCATACGATCATGGAGTTTACTGTTGACTAGCTCATGAATTTCATTCTCTGTGACCTAAAAAAAGAATCAACATAAATTTAAAAAAAAAATTAAACATACAAAAATGGAATTACTTACTTCTGCTCCTGGTAATTTAGTAATAAAAGCCATTGGATGTTCCAAATCTTCGAGATTTGGTTTAGCTACTACTGCAACTTCAAATACTCCTGGATGGCCTTGTATAACAGACTCGATTGCAGGTGGAGGAATATAAATACCTCGGAATTTAATCATTTCCTTCATTCTTTCAACAATATAGAAATCTCCGTCTTCATCATAATATCCTAAATCTCCAGTATGATACCAGCCTATAAAACATTTCCAATTAGACTAAAATAATAATTATTTTAAAAAATACTTTTTTTACCTTCAGAGTCGATAGCTTCTTTTGTAGCTGTTGGATTTCTCCAATACCCAGTCATTAATGTTGGTCCCCTGACGTAAATTTCACCTTCAGTATTGGGTCCAACTATTTCTCCAGTTTCTGGCTTGATTAATTTCACCTCTACATTAGGGAAAACCCTTCCACAAGACGTTGGCTTCTTAAGATTTATTGGACTACCTAGAGCGATTGCATTTTCCGTACCACCTTTAAAAGAATCGCCAAATAACTAATAAATCAACAATAACGGTTGAGAAAATTTACCATAGGCGGAAAAAATCGTAGCATTCTTAAAAGTAGTTTTCAAAAATTCGACAACTTCTTTTTTGACAACTGAACCACTGAAGTTCATTCGAATAACTGTTGATAAATCATATTTTGAAATGGCTTTCAATTTACTAAATCGATTAGCTGCTGTTCCCATAGACATCCAGGAAATCTGTACACAAAAATTAAAGAGTAAACTAAGAATGTAAATAATCAAAACATGATGTCATCAATTCATCTTACCTTATATTTCATGATAAGTTTACATGCTTCTTCAGGACTAATTTTATTGCAGATAATGTTCGTCGATGTAGTAAATATTTGATGTAGTGTACCTAAAATGCCTGATATCCAATGTAAACCAGACAAATCTAATTTGCCTGCATTGAACAGTGTTGGAGATGATTTCAAAACTTCCATATACGATAGAGAACCATAAGTATGGAGAACTCCTTTAGGGTAACCCGTTGTCCCTGATGTGTAAAGGATCAAAATTGGTTCTGTGGGTTTATCAATTCTTACACATCGAAATTGATCAACTTCTTCAGTTGTTATAGTTTTCAAAATGTCTCTGAAGGATTCATACCCCGGCCTTTGACCGAAAATAATTACTTTTACGTTATTTTTCCCATTTTTAATGGCCTCCAGTACTGGATCAGCCAGTTTTTCATAAACAAATAATACCTTGGGTTCGGTCAAGTCAATAAAATATCTAGAAATATCTACAAAAGATAAGTTCATAATTATTATGTAACTCATGAGTTGCAAGAGAAGAAAAACTTTACTTCACCTTCATCTAGACAGCTGTCCCACCAGGGATTGAAAATTGATCCAATGTAGAAAGAAGCTATCATTGGAACCACGCTGTCCAAATGATTTCCTGAACAGAAGCCAACCATGTCACCTTTTTTGATACCTTGTTTTTGGAGCCACAGTGCACATCGTACAGCTCTCTCTCCGATTTCGGCAAAAGTATCTTTCTCTCCCGTCTCTGCATCTATCTGATTATGGCATAGATACTTCTGAGTTATTTTTGATTGTAATGAATAATAATTCATAGTTTTAGAATGAATCACTGTATTTACTTGGCCAATAATTTCAGGGAACTTTTTGAACTGTTGGAATATCTTTTCTCCTAAATTGAAATAATCTTCTGATGGTGGATGGATCTCAGGTCCTTTCCATATTCCGTTTGTGCAACTCGGTCGCAGCATCTGATTGATAAAAATGAGATAACGGAATTTAATATAAAAATTAGAGTAATTTGTATATATGAATTCCTTTCGTGGGACTATGAGGAACGTTTGGGGAACAATTTTTTTTTTTTTCAAAAATTTTTCCTGTCTACTCCAAACGTACTTCAAATATTTTGTACTTGAAAGAACAATATACATAATGAAATCAATGATATATTGGCGAAAAATTGTAGGATATGAAAATGAGCATAACTCCTATGCTAATGATGCTACGGGGTTGATCAAGGGCTCATATGAAAGATCTCGACGAAAGGAAAAGAATCAATATAGTTAAAATTATAATTAAAGGATAATTAATGCTAAAATTAAGGCAAGTTCCCATTTTACCCCATTTTAGAAGTGAAATAATTAATTTTTTAGATTTTTGACCTGATTTCGCATTTCTACACATTGAGACGAAGAGAATGAGTGGTCAAACTTGAAAATCGGACAACTTTGATTTTTCGACCCCAAAAAATGGCAAGTGGTACCCCTTTCCATTTTTTTTGGCCAAAAAGTAAAGGTACTCCGATTTTGATGATTGAGGGCTCATTTTCTTCGTCTTGATGCGTAGAAATGCGGAATCGGGGCACCGGTCAAGAAAATTCACTTTAACACCCTTAAAAAGGGGTAAAATTGGTTACAAATTCAAAATTATCATCCCCTTGACTTTAAACCCTTATAACTCTTAGACGGACGGTCCAATAACCGTTTTTAGAGACGTTTTAGAAACTTTAAAATCTAAGCTAAATATGCATATCCAGAAAAAATTTTTAAAAAATTTCCTTCACCCTTAAAATTGCAAAAATATAAAAAAAAATCACATTTTTGTGGGAAGTTGTCAACTATTTTGGCCGTTCTGAGAGTGAAATAATTTTTTTTAACAATTTTCATGGATATGTATCTTTAGCTTAGGGTCTAAGGTTTTTAAATACCTCTTGAAAATCATCGTCCAATATTCTTTCCGCGAGTAATGACGATCCAAAGTCGAAGAGCAGATGATTTTTTGACCCTTACTCGACTTTGAACCTCTATGATTCTCATACAAGTTACCTAATAACGATTGTAAGGAGATATTTGAAAACCTTAGACCCTAAGCTAAAGATACATATCCATGAAAATTGTTAAAAAAAATTATTTCACTCTCAGAACGGCCAAAATAGTTGACAACTTCCCACAAAAATGTGATTTTTTTTTATATTTTTGCAATTTTAAGGGTGAAGGAAATTTTTTAAAAATTTTTTCTGGATATGCATATTTAGCTTAGATTTTAAAGTTTCTAAAACGTCTCTAAAAACGGTTATTGGACCGTCCGTCTAAGAGTTATAAGGGTTTAAAGTCAAGGGGATGATAATTTTGAATTTGTAACCAATTTTACCCCTTTTTAAGGGTGTTAAAGTGAATTTTCTTGACCGGTGCCCCGATTCCGCATTTCTACGCATCAAGACGAAGAAAATGAGCCCTCAATCATCAAAATCGGAGTACCTTTACTTTTTGGCCAAAAAAAATGGAAAGGGGTACCACTTGCCATTTTTTGGGGTCGAAAAATCAAAGTTGTCCGATTTTCAAGTTTGACCACTCATTCTCTTCGTCTCAATGTGTAGAAATGCGAAATCAGGTCAAAAATCTAAAAAATTAATTATTTCACTTCTAAAATGGGGTAAAATGGGAACTTGCCTTAATTTTAGCATTAATTATCCTTTAATTATAATTTTAACTATATTGATTCTTTTCCTTTCGTCGAGATCTTTCATATGAGCCCTTGATCAACCCCGTAGCATCATTAGCATAGGAGTTATGCTCATTTTCATATCCTACAATTTTTCGCCAATATATCATTGATTTCATTATGTATATTGTTCTTTCAAGTACAAAATATTTGAAGTACGTTTGGAGTAGACAGGAAAAATTTTTGAAAAAAAAAAAAATTGTTCCCCAAACGTTCCTCATAGTCCCACGAAGAAAACGTTGGAGAACTTCCCCACTGGGGAACATTCGGTGAGTCTTTGGAGAACGAAATGTTTTTTTTACGGGTCGTATAAAATGATTTAAATATGATTTGTTTCTAACTTTTATTTTTATTACTCTTTTCGAATATCAAGCACTCTGCACATTCATGTTTATTATCATTTTTATGAACCGTTTCAAGGAATGTTGATTTTAAGACGTATTAATGCATTACTAATTTTCATACAATTTGCGCGAAAATAATTTTTAATCCATTATTATAATATTTTTTTTTACAGTTATGATTTGTTGCATCAGTTATTTTTTATCGTGAATTAATAATCGATTTTTTAATTATAATACAAAGAGATAATACCTTAATTCGATAGAAATAATAAAAGTACAATAATCAGAAGCAATAGCCAGTTGAGAATGCTCAGGGATCTTCAGCACTGAACACTTCATTCGCGATCACAAGTTCAACGAGACTGATATAAAATTTCAATTAGATTTGGAATAAATATGATAATGTGTCAATTCAGTTTCGTGACGTCTTTACAACTGACTATTGATTTTACATAAAAACTCAAATATTATTATAAAAGGGCATTGACATTTACAAAAATGAAGAACATTAAAGTTAATTAATTCTACAATTCCTGACTTATTCTTTATGTTATTGTTTCTTGAACAATACTTCTAGGCCACACTGCCCCTTCGTTACTACTTTGATTTCCCAGCCTGCGGGTAGCTTACGCATTATATCTCACTATTATGTATCGACGTCAATAGTGACTAATTATCTTCTTAATTACTTCTTCTAATACATTTCAAAACATTCTTATTTGTAATATTTATTGCCTATTGATTACACTTTTTTCAATAGATCTATTTAAATTGTACTTTACGTTAAAATACTTTCAAAACGAAAATAGATAGACGACACGATTACATGCTTTAAACAAATAATGTATAAAGTGTACATGATCTATACAAATGTGTGGACATTTAATTATCAGCGAGCTTTTTGGCCATCGCTCGAAGTTCTTTTTTTGATATTTTTCCTGAAGCAGTATAAGGCATTTTATCGAGAAAACAAATACCTCCACGAAGTTTCATACGATCATGGAGTTTACTGTTGACTAACTCATGAATTTCATTCTCTGTTACCTAAAAGAAGAATCAACATAAATTAAAAAAAAAATTATACATACAAAAATAAAATTACTGACTTCTGCGCCTGGTAATTTAGTAATGAAAGCCATTGGATGTTCCAAATCTTCGAGATTCGGTTTAGCTACCACTGCAACTTCAAATACGCCTGGATGATCTTGTATAACAGACTCGATTGCAGGTGGAGGAACATGAACACCTCGACATTTTATCAACTCCTTTATTCTCTCAACAATATAAAAATCTCCGTCTTCATCATAATATCCTAAATCTCCAGTATGATACCAGCCTATAAAATATTTCCAATTAGACCAAAATTATTATTATTCCAATAAGACTTCTTCTACCTTCAGAGTCGATAGCTTCTTTTGTAGCTGTTGGATTCTTCCAATAGCAAGTCATTAATGATGGTCCTCTGAAGCAAATTTCGCCTTCCGTATTGGGTCCAACTATTTCTCCAGTTTCTGGTTGAATTAATTTAACTTCCGCATTGTGGATAACAGTTCCGCAAGATGCTGCTTTCTCGGGATTTACTTTTCCAGTTAGTATGACTCCAGTTTCAGTGCATGCTTTAAAAAAATTATTTGTCAATGATATATCAAATAGATATAATGGAAATACTTTACCGTATATAGAAGAAACCCAATCATTTTTAAATGTAGTGAGTAAAAATTCAATGACTTCTTTTTTGGCAGCTGCACCACCATAGCTTGCTCGGATTACCGATGATAAATCGTATTTTAAAGCGGCTTCAGATTTACTGAATCGATTAGCTATTATTGTTCCCATAGATATCCAGGAAATCTATTCACAAAATTTTAAAAGAAAATTCTAAAGTAAATCATAAACACGACCTAATTTTATTACCTTATATTTTTCAATAAGTTTACAAGCTTCATCAACAGGTATTTTATTGCAGATCACCATAGTTGATCTCGTAAATATTTGATGTAGTGTACATAGTACACCTGATACCCAATATATACCGAAAAACACCAAATTGACTGTATTAAAAACTGTTGGAGCTGTCTCAAAATGTTTCATATGTGTAAGAGAACCATAAGTATGCAAGACTCCCTTGGGATAACTCGTTGTTCCTGATGTGTAGAGGATCATAATTGGTTCTGTAGGTTTATCAATTTTTACACATCGAAATTGATCGATTTCTTCAGTTGTTACGGTCTTTAGAATGTCTCTAAAAGATTCATACCCTGGCCTTTGACCGAAAATAATTACTTTTATGTTATTTTTCCCATTTTTAATGGCCTCCAGTACTGGATCAGCCAGTTTTTCATGAACAAATAATACCTTGGGTTCGGTTAAGTCAATAAAATATCTAGAAATATCTACAAAAGATAAGTTCCGAATTATTATGTAACTCATGAGTTGCAAGAGAAGAAAAACTTTACTTCACCTTCATCTAGACAGCTGTCCCACCAAGGATTAAAAATTGATCCAATGTAGAAAGAAGCTATCATTGGAATCACGCTGTCCAAATGATTTCCTGAACAGAAGCCAACCATGTCACCTTTTTTGATACCTTGTTTTTGGAGCCACAGTGCGCATCGTACAGCTCTCTCTCCGATTTCGGCAAAAGTATCTTTCTCTCCCGTCTCTGCATCTATCTAATTATGGCGTAAATATATTTAAGTTATGTCTAATTTTTATGAATAATAATTTATAGTTTGGTAATGAATCATTGCATTTACTTGGCCAATAATTTCAGGGAACTTTTTGAACTGTTGAAATATCTTTTCTCCTAAATTGAAATAATCTTCTGATGGTGGATGGATCTCAGGACCTTTCCATATTCCATTTGTGCAACTCGGTCGCAGCATCTAATAAAATCACAAACACGATATGTAATAAAATTTAGAGTTAACAAGTTTTTTTACATTAAGATTCTAAGAATTTTGAGACATTTTCCTTCTGTCATGGGATAACGTATTCTTACTTTAAATCGTTAAAAATGTGTTTTTTCATATCAATTGTTTTTTCTTCGTCTATTTCAATCTATTTTAATCTTACGTTAATTCAGTTAAACAATACTTATTTTATTACCACTCCTACAGGCACTTAAAGTTGTTTTTGTATGTTTATTTCACTCAAATCTCTATCTCTGAATAGACCATACACGTAATAGTCAATAAAATCATTAAAATGTTACTAGCTGATTAGGTGAATAAGCTCCAGGTAATTCTCTAACTCAAATAATTCTTTTTATTCTTGAATAACAACACTCTTAAGTTACGAGATTAAGCATAAAATAAATCTATTTTAGTGTAGTATTAAATAACTCAAATATTATTTGTTCCTAACTTTTGTCGAATCATAAACATTTTGATATCATTTATAATCGTTTTTACAGATTGTTTGAATGTGAGTCGGTTCTTGAATATTATTACTACCGTACTAATTTTCCTACAATTTGATTGATTATAATTTTTAATATCAGAATGGCAATTGAATTAACAAATTCACTATTCTCACTCAACGTGCGCTTCAAATAATAAAAAAATACAAACTTCTAATTCACCATCTAAGTAAATGATTTTAATTATCAATTGATGACATTCCTACAAACAAGTAAATATTAGTTACTTTGGTAACAACATAAATGGATATTTTCATTTCTACGTGAATTAACAAGCAATTTATTAATTATAATACACAGATGATAATACCTTTGTTTAACACGAATAATACAAGTCGAACAATCAGGAGCAATAGCGAACTCAAAATGTTCATGTATCAACGAGAATAATATATTACTTTGATTAGATCTATACGGTATACCGATATATCAATTCGGTTAAGTAACGTTTTCGAAACTGACTATTGGTTCTAAATGAAAATTGAAATGTTACTTTAAAAGGGTATTGACATTCGCAAAAAAAAGTGTAGTCGATTAATTTCATATATTCTTAATATTATTGGTTCTTAATCAATACTTCTGGGCCGCACTGCCCCTTCAATATTGGTTTGATATTTCCCAGCCTGCAGGTAGCTTACGCATTATATCTCACTATTATGTATCGACGTCAATACTGACTAATTATCTTCTTAATTACTTCTTCTAATACATTTCAAAACATTCTTATTCGTAAAATTTATTGCCTATTGATTACACTTTTTTCAATAGATTTATTTGAATTGTACTTTACGCTGTACACGATATGTAATAACATTTAGAGTTAAAAAGTTTTTTTAAATTAAGATTCTAAGAATTTTTAGACATTTTCCTTCTATCATGGGACAACGTATTCTTACTTTAAATCGTTAAAAAATTTTTTTTAATGTCAATCGTTCTCTCTTCGGCGGTCAAAATGTACTGTTGCTCTCGCAAAGTACGTCCAATTTTTATCGTATTTTTAATCTTTTGTTATTACTATATACCAGATAACTTTCATGTAAAATTATGAAATTAGTCTATCACGAATGATAAAGTTCAACTTCGAAATTACATCACTTGATAATAACTTTTCAAAATCAACAAATACTGTGTGTCTAAACACTAATGTATATTGTATATGGCTTATAATTATTGGTTTTAGTTTGTTTTTTTGTGATAAAACGTTCTTCGTTTTAATTATTACCCATCGAGATATGATTTACTTTTTGAATTTTTGCCGGATTAAATTGAATTTTGTATTTACATATTCGCACGGCTCATTGACCTCGATAAATGAAAACATGGTATTTTCACGTATACAAATATTCGATATTTATTTTAAAATAGTTTTTCTTTCTGAATGTAATGCCATCAGAATCACATGATTGTCTGTATTATATTGGACAATGATAGTAAGAAATTAGAATATGAATTTATTAAAAAAATCAAATTAAGTCTTATAAACAATTTAGGCTTAATGTTGTCTCCATATGACTGTCAGTTAAAAAATATAAACTTTTAAAAGTTTTAATAAATTTTCATACTTTAGGAAAATAAACAATATCATTATACATCTTGAGTTAACATTGCAAATAAATTTAACACCTTTTTAACTGAGTTAAAAGTCAGTACAATGTCAATAAAATTTTAAATAACAAGCTTCAATTTGCAATAATTTTGTATAAAAATTATTACCATCATTATAAATTAATTATTGTTCTATCTATAATACATCACTTTTGAATTACTAGAATACGAATACAATAAATTAATAAAATAGAAGAAGCAGTAAACAGATAAGACGATTAATTTTTTTAATCCACGAAATGTTATAAAATAATTATAGCTGATAATAAAATTATAAATACAATAATTTAGCTTTGATTTATAACTACCATTTGATCATTTTACTTTTGAAGGTAAATTACAGTATCAATAGAATTATTTACAATAATCTTCATGAATTATTCGAAAGCAAGTTGATTTTCAAGACGTTTTAATACATCACGAACATCTACTAAGATTATTCAAAAATAATTGTTAATACATTATTGCTATAAGCGTTATGTACAGTTATAATTTGATAGCCCATCTATTTAAACTAAATACACCATAGCACTTTTTAATATTATAATGACAATGAAACTAACAAATTGATCATTTTAATTTCTGATATAGTTTATTAGAGTATTTCACTTCTTTGCATAATCTTATTGTTAATTTCTAAATCTTGAAAGTTTTCAAGAAATTCGTTTTGGTTCCGTTTTAACATTTTACTCCGAATCTAGACGAGTTTTTTTAATTTGTTCAACGCTGATTAAAATTGTAGTCGCTTTTCAGACTTATAAACAAATACAAATTGATTATATCATTCACTGAACGAATTGTTATGTCTTATCATAAGTTAATCATTTATTTATAAATGAAGAGATAAAAACTGAAGACCTGAACAGTTTAAAATAAATTAAAAAAAAATTAAGATCGATGCTGAAATTTCTAAAAAAAAAAGAATACCATTTTCAAATTAAAAACTCATTGAGCAATAAAAAAAACGCCTTAACATTTTTACATGATCCATATAAATGTGTTTACATTTAATTATCAGCGAGTTTTTTGGCCATCGCTCGAAGTTCTTTCTTTGATATTTTTCCTGAAGAAGTGTAAGGCATTTTATCAAGAAAACAAATACCTCCACGAAGTTTCATACGATCATGGAGTTTACTGTTGACTAGCTCATGAATTTCATTCTCTGTTACCTAAAAGAAGAATCAACATAAATTTGTCGTGAAAACTAAACATAAAAAAAGAAAATTATTTACTTCTACGCCTGGTAATTTAGTAATAAAAGCCATTGGAAGCTCAACGTCATTATGGCTTGGTTTGGCTACCACAGCAACTTCTGATACTGCTGGATGAGCTTGTAATACAGATTCAATTGCTGTAGGAGGAACATGGTGAAGTCGATATTTTATTAATTCTTTTATTCTTTCAATAATATAGAAATCGCCATCTTTATCATAATATCCTAAATCTCCAGTATGATACCAGCCTATAAAATATTTCCAATTAGACCAAAATTATTATTATTCCAATAAGACTTCTTCTACCTTCAGAGTCAATAGCTTCTTTTGTAGCGTTGGGATTTCTCCAATAACATGCCATTAATGTTGGCCCTCTGAACCAAATTTCACCTTCGGTATTAGGTCCAACTATTTCTCCAGTTTCTGGCTTGATTAATTTTACCTCTACATTCGGAATCACAGTTCCACAAGACGTTGTTTTCTTAGGATTTACTTGTCCAGCTATAGCAACTCCCGTCTCAGTACAACCTTAAAAAGAAGTAAAGACGAATAATAAATGAATAAGGAATTATGGTTAAGATAATTTACCATAGATAGAAAAAATCATAGCATTCTTAAAAGTAGTTAGTAAGAATTCAATGACTTCTTTTTTAGCAGCTGCGCCACCATAGCTTGCTCGAATTACTGATGATAAATCATATTCTAAAGCGGCTTTCGTTTTACTGAGTCTATTTGCTACACTTGTACCCATAGATATTGCGGAAATCTAGAAATAAAATGCAACAAATTAATTTTATGAGAAGAAAAGGATCAATAAAAAATGATATATTTACAATCAAAAAGTGTGCTATTAGTAAAAATAATAGAAACCTAATGCCATCAAATCATCTCACCTTATATTTTTCGATAAGCTCACATGCTTTTTCTTCACTAATGGTATAGCAAATTATCATAGTCGATCTAGTAAATATTGGTTGTATGTTATTTAAAACACCTGACAGCCAACATAATCCAGAAAACCACAAATTAACTGTATTTGATGTTAATCGAGGAGATTCAAAATTTCCGATGCGAGCAAACGATCCATAAGTGTACAACACTCCCTTGGGATAACTGGTTGTTCCTGATGTGTAGAGGATCATAATTGGTTCTGTAGGTTTATCAATTTTTACACATCGAAATTGATCGATTTCTTCAGTTGTTACGGTCTTTAGAATGTCTCTAAAAGATTCATACCCCTGGCCTTTGACCGAAAATAATTACTTTTACGTTATTTTTCCCATTTTTTATGGCCTCCAGTACTGGATCAGCCAGTTTTTCATGAACAAATAATACCTTGGGTTCGGTCAAGTCAATAAAATATCTAGAAATATCTACAAAAGATAAGTTCATAATTATTATGTAACTCATGAGTTGCAAGAGAAGAAAAACTTTACTTCACCTTCATCTAGACAGCTGTCCCACCAAGGATTAAAAATTGATCCAATGTAGAAAGAAGCTATCATTGGAACCACGCTGTCCAAATGATTTCCTGAACAGAAGCCAACCATGTCACCTTTTTTGATACCTTGTTTTTGGAGCCACAGTGCACATCGTACAGCTCTCTCTCCGATTTCGGCAAAAGTATCTTTCTCTCCCGTCTCTGCATCTATCTGATTATGGCATAGATACTTTTGAGTTATTTCTGATTGTAATTAATAATAATTTACAGTTTTGTAATGAATCACTGTATTTACTTGGCCAATAATTTCAGGGAACTTTTTGAACTGTTGAAATATCTTTTCTCCTAAATTGAAATAATCTTCTGATGGTGGACGGATCTCAGGTCCTTTCCATATTCCATTTGTGCAACTCGGTCGCAGCATCTGATTGATAAAAACGAGATAACAAAATTTAATATAAAAATTAGAGTAATTTGTATTTATAAATTCTGAGACATCTTACCTTTGTAAGTGGCAAAGTATTCTCACTTCAGTGTATTGCGAATGTGTGCCACTTTTCCACTCCTACTGTTCTCTCCACAGTAATTACAGCTTAATGTTGCTATCTCATGATACAGCAATCATTTAATTTGTACGTTGTCAGTCGTTATTAATATTTATCAAATAACTTACATTTAATACAAATATTTTCATATCAATTTTAAGATAATATAATGGATGATGTTTAATTTCTGATATACTTCTAAAAAATTGCAAGATAGTCTATTTCATAGCTAAAAATGATAATCATAAAATATCGAATTTGTCATCAGTAAGTTGAAAGAAAAATCAATCAACCGTCATTGTTATCCACTTGCTGAATTATGAATTTTTTTTATCTAGGTAAATTGAGTTAAATTTCTTTTGTTCATAAGTATTCGATTACTTGCAACAATTTTTAATGTATATTAATTCATTACCTAAATTATTTAAATTAATGTGGATGATATTTCAGTTTCTTATAAAAATATCATATTGAATCATATATTATAATAGACTTCTAATATTCTCAATAATTCATTTGGTTGAAAAACAAGTGAACGTGTCAATAATAATTTATACTAGATGAACTTGCAAAAAAGTCAATGTCAGTCTTTTAATAAAATTTATTAGACAGCAATCTTCTCTGGATATGTTTATCAGTTAGAAAAATAAACTTGGACATCTCAATAAATTTCAACCTTTCAACATAAAAAGAATAAAAAATACAGCAGGGATGTGAAAAATTACTGTGATCACTGCACATTGATTTATCCATTATTCTATGGATAAAATAAATCAACTGATAATCTTGAAAAAGAGTTAGACAGAAGATTTTAAATTTCGTGCAAAACAGCATTATCAGTGTTTTGTGATATCTGTTGGTATCACAAATGTTTACCTACTATCAATGCTACTAGTAGATCAGCTCTAAAGTAAAATTTCTGATCAGTTTTTATTATTATTTTCTAGAATAACTTCACATAATAATCAAAAGAATTTTTTTAATGCGAATCGAAAGGAGAGAATTTGTATTTATTAGTTGTCAAAGCCTTTTGTTTTAATAAAAACCAATTAAATAGGACGCATTTGATTCTGATCGTATGGATGTTTTACATGTAGCATGTATGAAAAGATCTGCGATATTTTTAATGGAAAAGCACCTTTAGACTTTTGTCAGTTTGTTCATGTAGGTTCATTTGACATCACATTCTTGAAAACAAGTATTTATTAAATATATGCTTTGTGTATAGTAATTTTTTAATTAGTCATTCAGCATTAATTAAGTCAATGCAAAAATTGTTCAATTATTATGGTTAAAAGGTCATGAATTTTGTGAACATTTAATATTTAATGTACGTTACGTGTACTAAAAATGAATGTTGATAGTGAAATTGAGCAACTGGAACCTTCTGTCAGAAATGTGATTGAGCAAAAATCATTAAGATGGATATTTGTAGGTGGAAAAGGAGGTGTTGGAAAAACAACATGCAGGTAATTTTGATTATAATTAAATTTCAACAAGTTGTCTATTCAATTATAATGAAACGTAAATAAAGTTAACCCTACTTTTTACAGCTGCTCATTAGGAGTACAATTATCCAAAGTTCGAGAGAGTGTTCTTATCATTTCAACAGATCCGGCACATAATATTTCTGATGCTTTCGATCAAAAATTCAGTAAAGTTCCTACAAAAGTTAAAGGATTTGATAATCTTTTTGCAATGGAAATAGATCCGAATGTTGGAATAACTGAATTACCTGAAGAATATTTTGAAAATGAGAATAGTATGGACAAATATTTTTTATCTATTTAATATTTTTTACTCGAAAAAAAAAATTAGCAATGAAATTTTTCTATTAGTTTTAGGTAACGAGGCAATGAGACTTAGCCGTAGTGTTATGCAAGAGATTGTTGGTGCATTTCCAGGTATCGATGAAGCAATGAGCTATGCTGAAGTCATGAAGTACGTTGAAAAACATTTAATCTAGTTTAAATTTTTTGACACTATGTACTTATTATTATTATTATTTTATTATAGACTCGTAAAAGGGATGAATTTTTCTGTAGTAGTTTTTGATACTGCTCCTACAGGACACACATTGAGACTTTTGTCATTTCCTCAGGTTGTTGAGAAAGGATTAGGAAAATTGATGCGTTTGAAAATGAAAATCAGTCCTTTCATAAGCCAGGTATTTTTATTAAATAATTTAATACCAATTATTAATTATCTATTATTTATGAATAGTTGTTTTCGATTATTCTGCGTTTATATTACAAGTTTTTTTTACTAAAGCTAAAGAAAAAAAATTTTAATAATTTATTATTATAGATAAGTTCATTACTGGGAATGACAGATTTTAATGTGGATAGTTTTTCAAATAAAATGGAAGAAATGCTTGCAATAATTAGACAAGTAAATGAACAATTTAAAGATCCTGAACAAACAACTTTCGTATGTGTTTGTATAGCAGAATTTTTATCTCTATACGAAACAGAGAGACTTGTCCAAGAGTTGACTAAATGTGGAATCGATACGCATAATATCATTGTTAATCAATTATTATTTTTAAAAGAAGGAGATGCTCCATGTCGACTTTGCTTAGCTAGACACAAGGTTCAGGATAAATATTTAGATCAGGTAATCAATATCAATCTAGTAATCATATAAATTTAATTTACACTTTCAACATTAATCACGAAAATGATTGTGTTTTAGATAACGGATCTCTATGAAGATTTCCATGTAACTAAGCTTCCTCTACTCGAACGTGAAGTCCGAGGTGTTGAATACGTAAAGGAATTCTCTGAGAATCTTGTGAAGCCATATAAGCCTTAAACATATATAAGAATTGGACTAAAATAACTTAAAAAAGAACAGTGTTCTTTTCTTGTTCATTCAAACTTTTATATAAAACTTTTCTCTCAATTTCTATTTCTTGTCATACTTTGTTTGACAATACAAATAAATTAATAAATATTCCGAGTAGTTTCAATAATTATCTTATTCAATCTATTTTCTTGTATCATCAATAACATACTTATCTTATGGTTATAAATATTCCCAAATTTCACCCCAAAATATTTGTAGAAAGCGCATGTTCAACTATAGACAACGCATGCGTAAAATTGTTTAATCAAACTCTTAACGTAATATACAGATATTAAGAAACGAAATGGTTTGTTATTCATCTCATATCATCAAAAATTTTTCAAAAAAGTGATAAAGTTTACATTTAAAGAACTTAAAGCCTCATTATCATATCAGTTTGTCGGGTGCAATTATGACCCATAATAATTGACAAGAATGCGAGTAAAGCTCGTGAGGACTTTATTAGCTTTAGCTCTACTAGGCAACATAATAGTTTGGCATAGAATTTGGTGGTTGTTCACATCACAAAATCCACTACAATCAACTCCGGCACCAGAAATTACAACTGACAGTCCTCAGAAGCTTCATCGTCGCTTAGCAAAACTAATAACAGTTGTTATACGACAATTTGAATCATTTGAAAATGATGTAGTCGCTACAGTAGACTCTGTTCTGAATGCTTTTCCTACGATACCTATTCTGATTGTTTGTAATGAATTACCATATCCACCACTTGAATTGAACTTTGCCAATGAAAGTTTAAAGAATGTCAAGTTGATAAATCTTCAGCCAGATTTTAACAAGTCATTTCAAGACAGAAATCCTCTGTATCATATTCAAACTAAATATGTTTTATTTCTACCTGATGCTACAAGGATCTCATCAAAGCAAGCGATACAGGTATACTTTGTTGCATTTTATTTAATTATTCGAAGTGTACTCTATTAGTGAATTTTTAATTTTTTTTATAGGAAGCTGTAACGAACACATCACGTAATGAAAGTATTGCTGTTGCGATTCCCGTAGGAAAAAATTCTTTAACATGCTTAGAACTTCACGTGAGAATCCGAGAATGGAGCTTGAGAACGAACAAAGCACCTGGTCCAGCATGTGGCGGTCTTTTAGGAAAACATGCAACTTTAATTGAGTCAAAAACTCTTCAAAAATTACCTGAACCATTCATGTTGCCATATCCTGATGCACTCTATCTCCAAACAACAGTTTTAAATATAAAAGTAAGTACCTATCATATCAATAGCTTTGATTATTGTTATTGCACAACTTAGTTTTTGACATATAGATAGAATATTTTTTATTTTTAATTATCTTGTCACAATTTATATGTTTATTTTATTTTTTTGGACGTTATCTTTAGCAATTTCGTTATCACTTGATGGCGTTAATGTTATGTTTGAAGATATGCTGACGTAGTTGTTTATGGTATGTAGATATTACAAGCATGAAATAGGAATGGAATAAAAATAAAATAGAAAATTTAAAAAAATCAGTCTAATTGTAATGAATTATTTTACTAGATTCATGTAATGAAAAATCATCAATTGAATGATGGGAAACCATTATTCCGTAGTCAACAATCTCAATGGAAACTTCAGCAGCTACATCAAAAGAGAGAGCGAGCAATGTTTGAAAAGTTAGGAATTAAAAGAGTTACGAGACCTTCAGGTGCAATTGACTGGTACGGATGTTCCAGAGAAACTCCCAGATGCTTTGGATCAATAGTCAATGGTGTACCTTCATATCTATATCAGAATCGCTTCACTCCACCTTGTTGTCTAGCAGGGTTAAGAAAAGTTGCCCATCATGTTTTTGATAAATTAGAAGAAGTAGGAATTAGATACTGGTTAGAAGGAAGTTCATTATTGGGAGCAATGAGGAATGGTGACATTCTACCTTGGGATTATCAAGTAGAGATCGGAATAAATCGTGATGACCTTAATCGATCACCTTGGCTTGTAAAAGCACGCAATAAACCAGTAGCGGATAATTATGGATTCATTTGGGAGAAAGCAACTGAGGGTGAATTCTTTAAAGTTCAATATTCTAAATTAAATCGTTTACATGTTAATTTACTTCCTTTTTATGTTAAAAATGGCACAATGACAAGAGACTCTTGGTTTTTAAAGAATCGCGATTTTCCAGAGCCATTTTTACATCCGATGTCTAGTATTGAATTTGCGGGGAGGCAAGTGCCTAGTCCGAATAATATCAGAGATTTTTTGGAAATAAAATATTACAAAGGGGTTGTAGAAAATCCAGAACTACCTGGAAAAATATTTCACTGAGTAGTTTTATTCTGCAATAATCAGTTATTTATATTCTATTTATATTACGATAGTATTAAAATAATAATTCTAAATCTTTTTAACTGAGTCTATGGTAATATTTAATATCATTAAATAGCTCATTGCCAGTTAAAAGAAAACCATTAGTGATGGTGCCAATACAATATCTAGTCAATAATAATAGGCAATTAATTAATGGATAGGATAATTTTCGATATGAACAATTATTTATATAATTTCTGTTAATTGATATTGAATTTATTTTATTGAAACTAACTAATTTGTTATTCTAACATCTTTTGGCGCTGTCAGAATTGGTGGTTCACGCACAAAGCTTAATAATCTTTCTAATTTCATTGACTCTAATTCTTCATGAGATAGATGCATTTGTTTTTTAGTTGGTTTTACTTTAACTCTTAAGTTTGGAGATAATTTAAGACTGTTGACTGTTCCTCTATATTAAAAAAAAAAGATTTAAATATTTAAATGTTATTTATTTAAATTTATGAACATTATGTAAACTCTTACTTGTCATCACCAACAATAATGAAGGGGAGTACACTATTAAAAGCTAATCTTGTTAATTTGCTACGTCGTTTGCTTACAACTGGTTGACTACATATTGGTCGATATTTATTCACGTTTAAATCAAATACTGTCACTTTTCCATCATTCGAAACGCTTGCCAATACTGTCGAACTGTATGGAGCCCATTGTATATCTCCAATTGGTACACCAAGGTCAAACATGAACAACGGTTCTCTAAAAAAAAAGTTGAATAAACATTTCAAATGACATTTCTAAAAATTGTTTTGTTTATTCAGTCTACATACAATCTATTGTCTTCCCATATTTTTATCCTCCAATCTCCTGAACAACTGGCAAAAATACTTGAATTGAATTTATTAAATACTATCCGATAAACTGGCATGTTATGTGCTTCATTATATGTCTGCATATATATACTACTGAAAGCTGTATTACACTTGTAAATCGTTCCTTCCTCAGTACCAACAAGAAATACGTCTTTCTCTGTTGGATGAAAAGCTATACATGTTCCACATCCTAAAAATATTCATTTATGATTAATTATATTTAATCTAATGATAATTTTATCTTTGTAAACAAAATTTTGCACACCTTGGAGAGTTATTAAAGTACCATCCGGTCCTGGAATTGGTGGTCGATCCAGATATAGAGTCATGATTGTTACCAGTCCCAATTCATTTTGATTTAAAATCCAATGATTTATTTTTCCATCAATACTAACGCTGTAGAAGGCCAAATTACCTTCATCTGTATCTGGAGCCCATCGTACTTCCCACACTATACCACCATGTTTTTGATGAACTTCATTGCTTCTATATTGAGGTGTTGTTGGTGGTAACATTACATTATATACTGCTACAGTACCATCCATTATACCTAAAATATAAAATTATAATAAAATAAATATATAAATACATTTTTAAAAAAATTTTCTAACAACTTACCAATTACTAGCAGATGAGGATGTTGAGTATTGAAATCTAGACACATAACTGGAGATTCGGTGATACATGTCCATTCAGGATACGAAGGATTCTTCAGACTGAACAAGCAAACTGTACCATTTGACACGGGGCTATCAAAAGAAACTAAAAAAATTAGTTAATGAAATCAAAAAATTCTATATACTTTGATTAGTGGAATTTTAATTTTCATACAAGATCCAAAAGAGACAGCAAATAAATCATAATAACGAGCATTGAAGCATAAATCTGTGACGTCATGTTTTTTAGTTTTCTCATACTGGAATTTCCACAAAGGAAGAAGAGACCCTTCACCGTCCTTGAATTCATCGCTTGGATCATTCCAATACCTATAATCTGTTGAACAAATATTTTATTACCAAAAGCCTAACTTGCCAAAGAACTTTGATTTAATGTGCTCATACCTTGTAAAATTTCATTAAAAATATTTTGATTGACCATTCGGTCTAATGTTTTAGCAGCTTGTAACATTCGTTGATTAACTGCTACAGATTCAATTAGCGTTTTCTTCTTAACAGTCATATCTTCTCCTTTTTTTTGTTGAGGTAAAGGTTTTTTTTCCTTTTCTTTTTCCCTTTGTTGACGTTCATAATCCTCTTGATATTCATCAAAAATCACCCATTGAAATACAGCAGAATTAAATGACGCTGTTGGTGGTGGAACAGTTTGCGTGCTCATGTCCTAAAAATATTGAATAATTTTACTCCAATATAATTAATCACTGATAAAGCATCAACTGATAGATTTATTTTAAGGTAAACGTAAAAAAAGATTTGAATAGAAAATGTTGGATAAAAATCATAACTGAAACATTAAAATGTCATAATGGAAGAAAGGATGTTTGGCGAGTACCAACATTTATGATAACGCTGAGGTTTATCAACTCCTTCAATATTATTACGATAAGCCATTCAGTAGCAATAAAAAAAGTGGTTGAATATTTTTTTTTATCACTTACTCGAACGGGATTGTGATACGTAAGAGCAGCTCGTTCACAAAAGTTAAATTGATTTGGTACTTTAACAGGTTTTTCTGAAGCTTCTTCCTCTGCAGTTTCAAGCTCTGCTTCTCCACCTCCATCTGCTTGTTTATCATCTCCCTCTTCATCTAAAGTTTCAAAAAAAATGCCATATAAGTATGTCAACTTCATAATTCACTTCTATAATAGAAAACTATTCATCAATAACCTGCTTCTTCAGCATCTGGAGCATCTTCTTCCGGTTCTTCCTCCTTTTTTATCGGTTCTTCTACTTTAATGGTAGGTTTTTCAGCATCTAATTTAATATTTTATGTAAAAAAGTAATCATTTAAACTAATTACATCATTTTTTCATACCAATAGAACCTCCAGATGCCTGCTTCTTTGCTTCTTCTGAATCTTTATGAAGTAATGTACCGGGTACACTTAAAATGGTGACTATATCAGGCGGTTTAGGTAAATTAATAAAAGCTCCTTCTTTCCAAGACCATTCTACTAATGAATCTGGTATTCTAGGGTTATGAATTGTCAACACTCTAACGATTTCCTCTTGTAATTCCTTATAAAGATAACATCAAGTTTACTTGTCATTAAATCATTAAGTCAGGGACAAAGTTAATATTTTAAGAGAGTATTTTAATAAGGATAATTACTGCTTCTGTTAATAATAATTGATCTTCTGGTTTCAAGAATATCTTCCCTTTAAACCAATCCATGTCTCCTCCTGATGAATCCATTTTTGGTATTCGACTCTTTGAAAGACTTGTTTGCTAAAATAAATAGTAAAAATAATGACAATAAATACATCAGTGGTCAGAATGAATAATATTGATTATAGTAATTATGGTTAGGATCATGAAAATAAAATAATTGGCTTAAATAAATAAGAATTTAAATTTGTTTGCATATAAGTAACCATTGATGTTGATTACTTACGTCTTTACTTGAGTCTGAAGCTTTAGACGGGCTCTTTTTCATTGATTGTGGCATGATTAAATTTCATTAAACTCCAGTGTAATTTCAAATGTAACTATCAATCTGGTATTTCATAAATATCCATTAATTCCATGATTACAACAGCACTCGGTTGCCTAGGATACAACCACTCAATTTTTACTTTAGAATTCATCATCCATCTATCTTTCCAATGACTTTTATTTATTATTTTCCAATTAACCATCGTTTGAATTTTTCTTTAATTTCAAAAGTGAAATATTTTTGTCGATGAAATGAAAAATATTTTGTCTTGTTGAAATGTTTTCACGACGTTCTCTACGGAAAATCAATAAGCACATGCTCGACGTAGGAGTGGGGTCGAGTTGTAGGGTGCATGTGTCCTCAGTTTGGCACAGCATCTGTGTTGAATCGTGTAAAAAAGATCTCTGAATAAAATTTAATGATTTTTATGTAATATATAATACTGAAAAATACTCAAAGTATGTTTAAGTGTTTTGTTAGTATAAATTTTAACTATTTCCAAGTAAAAACATTGACATTACTGCCTCTTTTATGATTATCAGGACACTCCAACAAGTTGTCCATATGGGTAATGAATAATGTCATGTTGATAAATATTCATGAATATACTTTCTGTAAGTTATTCAGTAATTTATATTAATAATGGATATTTTTTAAATTTAGGTAACTAAATGGCAGCTCTGATTGTAATGGAAGACAGTGGTATAGATAGTGATCCAAAGCCTGTGACTCGTCTTGATGATGACATATTATTTTTGGTAAGTTCTTTACTTGATAAAACTTGTTCATGTATTGGTAAAATAATTATCAACTAATTGATCGTAACTTTAATTGTTTAGACAAGTGACAGTAGCTGCAGTAGTAATCAAGCACAACCTATTCAACGTTCCACGACAAAACAATTACAAAGAAAGCTGGGTAAGTTTTCTATTATAAATTAAATGAATGTGTAACATAAGGAGTATGTTTCATGATAAGTTTCTCAACAATTATTTTAATAGAAGCAAGAATTGAGCAAGCAAAGCGGATTCAGCGTGGCTCCGACTATATAAAACTTTCAAATAACGATAAAAGTAACACAGAATCCAGTACCAATTCCAGTGGATTAATACCAATCCAGAGATTGCCCATTCCACATAAATCCAATGAGCATCATCCATTGGTGGAGTATTGGCAAAGTGATACCGAGAGGTAAAGAGAGATACTGGAAAACTTCTTCATTCATGGATGTGATAATCTAATAATTTTGCTTTCAGTGAAGATGAAACGACTCTATTTCCCTTGTCACGAGGAAAAGATTGTGGCAAACACAAACAAGATCTCACAGATACTTTCAGTATTGAAGAATTGAGTGAAGAAAGCGAAGATTCTTTAAATTTGGGTCCAACCAAGTTGCCCAATCCTCATACTCGAACATATACACCAGCAGGATGCTTCAATTGTCAATGTCGCATTCTCTGAAATTATCAAATTAATAAGATCAAATTTAAATTAATTCATTTTGTCAACTTTTGTTTTAAACAAATATAATGTGTACATTCTAGTCTTCCATCTCTGGTACTTACATATTTTATATGATAATTTTTTTTTTCATAATTTAAACAAACAGTGAAATGTAAAAAAAAAATGATGTACTGCAAACATGTTTAGAAACTTTACTTATACTTGTGCTTCACAAACTAGTCATCATATTTGGATTCATATGAAAAATTAATATGCATACTTACATTGACTTAAACATGTTAACTCTATACCAATCAAATAATTATATGGCAATGGCAATTAGATCTTTGAAGATTATAAGAATAAAGTTTTATCAAAATGTTTTATGAAAAGAGTAATAAATAATAAATGACGTTGAAAGAAAAATTTTTCATTTTCTTTTTTAGCTATATGAGAATTTCTAATTACTCTTTTATTCCCAGTGAAATGAATAGAAAATTTTCATCTGTTTAATACAGGTACTCTTTCATATTTATTATTATTTCTGAGCTCTCAGACCGCAGTAGCGTTTATAAGGCTTGATTGAAAAATAAAAAATGCAAGTCTGGAAAATAATTAAATATTAATAAAATTTATGTGATTAATTTTGATTTCTGTAGAGATAAAATTAGGGAATAGCTGAAGGAGGGTTTCAGTTGATAGCCGTTCGGAGGCGCTCGTGGTTCCAGGAGGGATAGTGATGGTTGAGGGAGTAACTCTGTATCGGGGTAGATGAGGGAATGGTTGAAGTAGCAAGAGGAAGGGTTGGTTTCGGCAAGTGACAAGGCGGGGCGCGTAATCGGTGCGGTGCGAGAAAGTCAGAGCCAGTGTGAGGCCGGCTGCCAGCCGCCTAACGTCGTTATTGGCTTTGCATATTTTTAATATCTATTACATCATTGACGTGGTATCAATTTATTTATTCATCTTCCTGTCATCATATGTATAAATAATAAAATTGACCAATTGGACCGATAAATTCATGACAGACTTTGACATAAATTCATTCAAAATCCAACGTCAAACAAGGATAAGCTTGAATCAGGATCAAGTTGACAACATCCTGAGTAAATATAAAAAATAATCCGGAACGCAATCAAGAAATCTAGTAGGATGAAGAGCATTTTTTGTCTCATGTACATTTGATTTCACGACGATGAAGTATTCAGCAAGGAACAATCGTCGAGGATCTCCAAAAAGGACATAAGGAGAAAGGAAAAAGTCTGAGTCTGCGCGACCAAGAGTCCTAAAGATCTAATGTATATGGAGGATAGTAACCAAGTAGATTCGATACTTTACCGGTCTACTACTTCTATCATTTCGTCATCATCACTGTGATTTTAAGTAAAAAAGGCTAGTGCTGTGATGAAGAGTCGTGAGTACTTATATTAGTTAAAATTTTTTTTTAATTAAAAGGCAGAAGTAAAAAGCTGTGCTTACAAAGAAGCGACTGCAGTCCACCTTCGTTGATTGGATTACTTTTTTATAAATAATTAGAAATGAGATGGCTAGGCAGTTGGTGGTAAAGACAATGCTTAAACTGTCAAGATGATCAACGTCAGGGCACGTGACTTGTGACGTCTTGAATCGTGTCCTTGAGCAAGAGCTTTTAGGATATTGAAAAGGATTAGTTACTATTGGTACTGTTATCAACTTGAAGACCAAAATTGAGAAGGTGTGTGACGGATAAACACACCTGATAGTGGAAATGATGTTTACGTTAATGGTTGATGGTTTTACTTGTCTGCACCATTGTTACACTCACACGCCAGTCTTTAAGTCTTTTGGTCATCATCAGAAGAAAAAGTGGCCAGTCACGAGACCGGAATTCGTAATAGGGTCACGTGACAAAACCATCATTAATAGGACTATTAATAACAATCCACAAGGATCATCTTATTCGTTAGAACAAAGAGTAAAACATCAACGGAGAGAGAACTTTACAGCTGAATGCTGGGTTCAAGCTCATTGAGACTCAAGTGTCCTTGAACGTATGAAAAGAGATAAACAGAAAGCAACAGTAATTGGATTCATATGAACTGATGACGTTTGCTACAGCTCCAGATGAGTTCTCTTTGCTGGTTGATGCTCTCTCTTCTAATCAATGAACTGACGACGACGACGAATGGCAGACTATTTCAATAGGGAAAAGCATCATTAACCTTGTTATTATCTCACTCGATCGCGAATCATATTCGTGACTATACTGGGTGTATATATGTTCATTGTCCAGTTGTTGGAACTGATGACAAGGAAACCACACCGACAATTCCATTATATCCCACAGAACAGCAAAACGTTATTCATTCCGCGTGAAGACGGAATTAAAGCGTCTAGGTAAGGTGCGGATTGTACGTGACTTGATTCAAGATAAGTTTGAAGAAACTATACCAGGAATAAAAAGGAGAAGAAAAGAGTAATATAAAAAATAGCTCACCGTTAGATTTTTGTTCCTCTACAAGTGATGGTTAAAATGCATATTGACCTACTGGTCGTGGATTTTCAGCAAACTCCAATTCTTGTGTTTTGGGGATCTCAAGCAAAATGAAACTGAGATACCAAGTGATGAGTTACAGTACTTCAGGTGAGAGAATAATACCCACAATGTGGTTGAGCATAATTACGTCAGATACCTTGACTTTTAACAGACATCTCGATTATCACTAATTCTTTATTACATCATAACTTGCAATATATATGTCTGTGTCGGTCTTCCAGAGTGATGATTTACCTTGAGTCCATCTCCTGGGACTGTTCAATGCCCGTGTTCCCATATATCTATAGACAAGTAGAGAATTAGAGTTAGATGATTGGATATATGTATTATATGAGATATTGGCTAGTGCTACGAAGGAAAGTTTGAAAGCAGGACTCGTGAACATTGTTAGGGAGTTGGGGATGAGCCATTGAACGTACTTTCAAGCCATCTAGATTATTCCTAGTGCTGATCCATCAATTATCCTATGCCCACAAATTGTTCCTTTATGTTCTGGATCAAGTCACAATTGAATTAATTAAATAATTCAAGTAAATACTATCGATTCATCTGAATTATTTTTTCTCCTTTAGTAAGATTATCTCAAGATATGGAAATAAGTACATAAAACAGCTTGGGTGTACGTTTTTGAGTAAAACTAAACGTTAAGACTAGTATAACTTGAATCTAGATAGAATCACTAAGTTAAACTTACTCAGGTACTTTCATAACGAGCAATCAAAGTACTGAACGTGAGAGTTAAGGAACTACATGATGGATTGATCATAGAAAGAGATACAATTAGTTACTTTACTACGTAAAGTTTACGTTTAAAAGTTTGAATTTCATTTTAGAAACTCCCAAGTACATTGTGGAAACACTAAATTTTATTGAATAACTGGCAATGTTTCGTCTTCTTTTTCCTTAATACTTGATTCTTTTTTTTTTCTTTACATGAATATACTAAATATTCAAAGAAGTGTATCACGCGATACGTGTATCGCATCGGAAACCTGCATCGAAATATATATTTCCGTCGTCGATAAGTTAAAACGATAGATATATACATGGATATCGTTTGTCCTCACAGCTCACTGCCACTTTTAATAAAGTCGAATTGATCCACAAACGAAAAGTCACGTTCACTTACCTATCTATTCTCAATATACGGCGATTTCGATCGCACTAAAGCACACAGCCGTAATCCACAGATGTCATTTTTACGATGTTGCTAGTTGAAAAGTCTTTTCTTTCAATCGTATTGTCTTTTTTACGACAATTTGACAATTTTTATCTATACTTTTTTTTTATTTTACTTATTTTCTTCCCTATATGTATATACTGGGTAATTCGAAGTAACCTTTATTACTGGACTACACCAAGTTTATTGCTTTCCAAAATTAACTCTTCCTGTTGTTGAGAATTTCTCCTGCTACTAGATGACTGATTCTTACGATTTTATCGTCTTGATGAAATCGAAAAAATTCACATTTTAGATAGTACAGAATATACATAATTTTTCACTGAAGTTTATTATCAATTTATGTAACTTTTTAGATAACTTTCAGATGTTTTATAGCAGATAAAAATCATATTTATTTATCAAAAAATTTATTAAAAATATACTTAAAGTACCAAAATGATGTTAAAGTATAAAAAACTAACTTTGAAAACTGTTGCCTTCCTACTCCATCTAATGAAATAAAAACTCTACTCATGATTGACTATTTTTTATATTAAATTATTTAAGAAAAAAAGAGAGGAATTTTAGTAAAATCATAAAATTCTCATCGTATAAAATATCCCTACTGTCTATCCAGCAATGGATCAAGAGACAAAATTGAAATTTTCTACGAAAAAAGAATAAATGAAAAAAATATTTAATTTTCTTTGGTCACTAGTCAACGAGAGATTTTATTAATTCAAATAGTCTGGGATTAAGTCTTGATCAAGATCATTTTTAGATAAAAAAATGTTTTAAATTAAATAATAAAATTTAAGCTTTAAGTTATGATGAGTTATCTTTAACATAAAATTATTCTAAAATAAATATCATTTCACAAAACGGCGTAACACATATGCTCTACAATCATCTCAAACATCTGTCAGTAGCAGTAATATGCAGAATGTTATTCAAAACCACCCAGTACACCCTACCTGCATATATAGAATGTTACATTCATAACGTGATGATATTGGCAATATAATTCAGGTTTTATTATTTTTTTTTTCAGGATCTACACCTGCTCCAGTTGTCCTGAGGGACAATAAACTCATAGATGAAACGGTCTGTGAGTGAACGAACGTTACAGTTGAGTGACATAAAAACACGTTGCAAAATATTGAGGAATAAATATTTGGAGAAAAAAACGGTCATAGGAAAACTGCAAGTTGATTGTATACGAAAATCGCTGGTATCCGCGTGTGTGACGCGCCACCACCCCCTTAATTAGGGGGGGTGGGCCAGCGTACCGTCAGCGTGGGGGCGGGTGCTGTGGGTGCGCGCCTAGCGCGTCGACTAGTTCGTGTACTCGTTCGTCGTCTCGCTGCTGCGGCTTTTACCGGCCGCTTTAATCGTCACCCAGTGCTGGCTACCTCGGGAACCACGGGGGTGGCCGTGGCCACGGGGGAGCAAGATGCATCCCCGTCCACGCGTCACACTACCCCTAACCCGAGTGTAACTTCCAACAACGGGACATCAAGCTGCCCAACAAGATCCAGGACACGTGCGATGTCTATGAGAAGCCTCCATCGTCGTGTCTCTCATCCGTAAGTTGCTTTTTCCAGTTTATTTAACACACATTTGAATGTCATTCTCTGCTTGTTTGATAAAGTCACATTTAGATGTCGTAGAAAGGAGCTTATGGGAGAGATGAAGAAGCCCAAACTACTGCTCCATTTATATAGCCATTAATATGACATAGGCGAAAAAATTTTGTCGTTCGTCTGAGGCTTGTTGAATATAGTTATATACATAGTAAATGATATACCTTGAGCATAGCTGAGGAAGATATTATATCTCATTTTCGACTCTTGTCTCTAAGTCCTCTAGGATTTGGGTGTGAGAGAAAATTAGCAGGCATTGCTTTTATTCCTCACAGTATCATTTTCAGCCCTTTGTTCTCTCTAATTAGGACTCCCGAATTTATATCTTTGTTAAATTATACCTTTAGAAAATAAAAGTCTATTTCTGTCATTTTTTTCTCAAATTAACTTCCATAAACGACGATCCATTTATTGCTGAATTAGGTTTATATTTTCTTGTGGCTCGTTATTGCTAGATAAAAATATATAAAAGTCTACCTAGCTTTTGCGTGACTAGTCAATATTCAACTTCATTCGCATTCTAATGTAAAGGCGTCATGTCATGCACCCTCCGAATTCTCACGCAATGTACCCTAATAGAGAGCTTTAATTTTTATATTTACATCAACTACTTGATAATTATTATGATCAATTATCTCACTTAGTTTAGTGTATTAAATAAGAGGTGATTTCAAATTATATGTATGTATAAAATAAATCATCTTGATAAGATATTCAATAGCAATTGAATAGCAATAAAATTCTCATTCCTTAAGTATTATAAATCGTCAACAATAAATTTATTTCTTTTTATATTTCTATAAATAAAAAAAGAGATGATAAAAGATCGAAACGCTATACAAATCTACATTGTTAAAGGCTGATAGAAAAAAAGAGGCATAAAAGAATTTGCTTTATATAAAAACGAGGGCGCGCTAAAGATATTTCTGTATGGAAATTAACACAAACGAGAGTTTATCGAGTCCTCTTTTCCACTTATGATAAATTATTGAAAAACAGAAAAAAAAGCCTTGGCAAATTGCAACTTTCATGGCCTACAGCTTTTCAAGTGTCGCATTGTTTTTCGGTCCCTTATTTAAAAGAGAAAATCTCTGAAACTAATATTCATACACACTATATATTTTTCATAAAGGTTTGGTATTTTTAATAAAACTCTAGAATTATTAAATCAAAATAGTGTTTTTTTTTCTAGAATAGGCTTATATAAATAATTGGAAAAGAAAAACAATACAATATTGTTTTTGTTGTTGGAGATGTTGTTGTTTTGACAGTATCACCTGGCAAAGAAAACAAGTTATTTTATGATCTTTGGCATCAACAATATATTTTTGAATTCAGTACAATGTCTGTAGGAAATGATGCTGTATTGTGATATCCAAAGGGTAGAAGGATTGGAGCAATAAAGAACCCAATGTTGATACATACGCGTGATAGATGTATGCTACCGCATGCACACCCTGGAGGTGTAGTAAGCGTTTTCTTTTCTTTATAGTGGTTCGTGCTTTTTACTCGACAATTTTATTCCTCATTCCTCACCACCTCTTCTCTATAAACTCTTCAGCTGACTCGAACCCTCACAAGATCGCTCGCGGGCCTGTTTCGATCTTTTTTTGTTTCCAAAAATCAATCAAATGGGGGATTCTTGAATTGCGATTGTTCTTTCGACCTCAGGGCTTGACATTTTTATTTTTTCTCTTTTTATTCGTAGTCATGCTACTTCGATTGTCGAGTGAACAAAAACTATCTCATCCGACAAGTAATTGTCTGGAAATACCTGAAAGTTTTTTTTTCATCATGACATTCAGTCTAGATAATACCAATGTATATTGAAAATCCGTCCTCGATAATTGTTAAATATTGGAGTTTTTATTTTTATTTCTGATATATATATATTCTTTCTGATATTACTCGAGTACCTTTTGATTTTGGTAGTATCACTTGACTTGTAATTATACGCAATGAACCTTGCTTCACTTTTGTTTGTGATCAGTACTGTAGTTTGCTAATGAACGCTTGAAAAAAAAATCTCGCTCTCGATAGAATGACGCAATCATAGTAAAAAATTCTCTTCCCTTTTGGTGGATCACTGGACGAATAAGTAACCCTCGTTGCCAATTTGGCTTTGAGCCACAGTATAAATAAAAAAAAAGTAAACGAGAAAAATTTGCCGGAGGCTGTAGAAAAAGATAGCGAGAGTGATTGTAGAGCTTTTAGAGTAAACTGTAGTAGTAGATACTTCTAGAAAATGTTTATTGAGACTGTTCTGTCTATATAACAATGAGTAAATCTCCAAATAATTTTCAATGCCAAATGTCGTAAACGTAACCATATAAGTCGTGTACCCGTGATCAAAACAATGTATTCTTATTCCGAAATGTCCTCAATGTGATGTAATATTAAAAGCGACAAGAAAGCTAATGGAAGCTTTACATTCAGCTTTAAAACTCTTTCCAGTTTCTATGCAAAAATAAATCGTTCACATAAAGACTTACTCTCTTATTTATTTCTTTATAACAACATTCCAAATCTTAACGGTAGTTTCGTGTTTTTACAACGTGGAAAAAATTATTAATTTTATAGTTACTTCACATTGTTACGTGATTGCTAAACATTAGGTAACTTTTTCCTATCGTGTTAACTTGCTAGAATATGATAAATAAGCTCGTGGTAAGTAATAAAATTGTCAGCTGAGATTGAAGCTGAAGAAAGAAAGTGGCGTCAATGAGGAGACTGAAGTGGATGAGGTATCGACGAAACCTTTATCCACATATCGATTTGGCTTTATATCTTCTTCTCAAGCTCTTGGCACAAATTTCAAGGTGCACATGTCCTCCTCTTCCAGCTTTACATCCGGGAGATTTTAGTGTCACCTCATATATTCCTCTCTTTCTCTACCAATGCCTTATAAATCCTTGAATACGCGAGTTCTAATGTGATGATGCTCGTGTATACATTCCACATGTGTCTCCATCACTTTTACAGCTTTTGAGACTTTAAGTATCTCTTTCATCTAACCACATGTTTCCTGTGAAGGAATCTGAGTTAATATTAGTTTTTAAAAAATGTCTTATACTCGGATACATTTTAGAGGATCAGTCTACCTCACTTATTCTTCAGAGAAATTAATTTTGATGATAGTTTCAGTTATAAACATTCCTCAATACTTGATACATTCAAGTCTTTTATCAACATCTATGTAGAACGAGTATGTACATGTTTCTTAGATAAAAGTAGAAAAATCAAGTCTAAGTAGAAGGATAGACGTTAAACTTTTTTCTCCAAATTTTTTATCTTCTTTCGTCTAGTCTTACCATCTTGTTTCTTTGATATTTCTCTTACGCGGCTAATCTTATCCTCTTGACCCTTTCGAATCGCCTCATTTCTTTTCTCTACACACTGTGGGTGCCTTTCCGCTTTGGCAACATTGCCTTTAGCTTTCTGTAAATTAACATCCGGTCCTCGACCCACTAGACTTCATCGGCAATCCTATTCATGACCTTTTTAAATCTGCCAATGAAAAAGTTAATTTATCATTTCTGCCAAACTTTCCTTGCTTTCTTTTTTTAATTGTAATTAATGAACTGAATTATATTCCTTCATTAATTAGAAATTTTTTCGTATAAATTTATGGTACAAAGCACCCTAATAACACAAAAGAAAAAGTATTTATAAAAAGTGATGTAAAAGTATTAAAGGCGATTGGAACATAGTGGACAAACTCGCCCTAAAACAAAAATAGTTCAGCCTAAGCTTGTTCATCAGCCGCTTCAAAGTTTGGCCGAGTTTGTTAGTTTAATTCTGATGTTCTGGAAGAGAAGTATATAATAATAATACTTGGCCATTTCTATTTTCCTCCCGAGCACAAAATCATATCATTCATTCTTTCCCGTATCATATTTATTGTACCACTAGTTTGTATACACATCTTTCTTCTTGTATTTATTGGCTTGTGAGAAAATTACGCAAGAATATTTCTTATCAAACATTCGATTTTTTTCGTATTGTATTTGGCCAAGATACTCAATTCGATATTTCATATCTAAAACAAATCTACAAAAAAATAATAAATATTCTCGAGTTTGTCAAACGTTACATGAAATATTGTAAGTTCATCTTTAAAATTTATAAGTATATACCTGTCAGTAGAAATCTCTTTGTTTGGTCAGGCTTATCTTCAGCTTGTTAACATGACATTGAATCATCGGATTGTAAAGTGATAATAAGAACTGTACTCTGTTTCTTCAGCTTGATTTAATCTTTTTCATCAATGTAACAGGATTTGCTATCTAATCGTATTGACTCTATTCATTCATTGTAGAAGTGCCAAATTGTATTTTCAAGAGTTTCTATAAATTATCTATTATTCTAGTTTTTTTTTTGAAAAAAGAATTTCATGAAAAAAATCAAATAAAATAACTCCATCAATAGTATAAATTAATTGCAAATACAACATATAAATCCAATCCAATTAATGGGTTACGAAATTGAAATACAATCTTCGTTGCTTTGATAATAATTAAAGTATTTTTTAATCAAGTATCATTCATTTGTAGTTTGAGTATATAGTTTTGTATTGTCCACTAATTCAGTCGATTATCTAAATATCTTACGTAATGGTAATAATCGCATAAACTAACATAATTATAATTATGTAGACTCGAGATATTGGCATAAGGAGAGTTTAACATGATTAAATTGATTAGGTTGATGCTAACAGCTAGGGAAAGCCAGGGAGACGCATATAATTTGAATTACGGTCGTCCAAACCTCTCAACACTAATCTCCACCCAAACAAGATTTTCTAGAGAAATCTCCAGTATAAATTTTCCAATATATCCATCGTCTCTTGCTCTGGGTATTTCCCATTTACTCCTACTTACTCTTCATATTTTTAATTAGTTCTTCTACTGACCAGCTGTAACATTATTAAAATGATATTAAAC